TTTATTTTCTCTTTTTGCATTTCTTACCTATCTATCTATCTGTACCTATCTTACACGTTACATGAATTACCAACGATTTTGTTGTACAACTTGAGATTATTGGTTTTTAAAATATCTTCCGTGTGTCCATTGCCACATTTTAGACTGTATGCAGCAGCTGAAGAGTATTCGTGAAATAAAACGATGATGGCATCTTATTCTGCAAATTTTGTCCATCTTGCTTTATCCAAGTACTTCTTTCATCATGTAAATTTCAGATAAGCATAAATATGTTTATCTAACTTCGAGTTATTTAATAATGTTTCAGTGGAATGGTATTTTTGCAGTGATCTCGGTAAGCAGTTATTTATATTACAGGATAAGTAATACTTATGAGTGTCCAGTATGAAACGTACGGCATTATCCACTCGGTGAATAAGTTAACAAAACGTTTACTAGCCAAAGTGTCTACTAACATCCATTCGAAATCCGAATAAATTATCATTATTGTGCATGATAATCTAACTCCACTATCCAAATCCCATGCAGGAAATGAATTTGCTGACTATTTCTTCTTTCTAAATACACAACTTTCGTAGTGGATGTAACGAAGGAAAAGTCAATATGATCAAAAAATGATTATTAAAGGATGGTAACTACTATTCTGTGAAGACATTTTTCAGAAAACGACTGCATACTTGAAGTGAACGAGTGAATAATAATGAATACGTAAACGATTTTAACGCGACGAGATATTTGAACTAAATATGAATAACTATCCTCTCTCAGTACCTTATACTTCACTGAGCCGTGGAAATCTGAAGGCAAAGACGGATTTGTGACTGTAAGGAAGACAGTTTATTTGATAAAAATCCATCATTTATATACAGATTTCATAAAAATATAAAAACCATTAGGTTAAAAGTTGTATACTTATTTTGATTGGTCAACCATGGGTTAAATGGTCCAATAAGATTTTTCCTGACCACACAGTAACATGCGATAAAGGTTGAAATTCAAAACTTACACGGCTGATGACATAAAATGTTGATATCCGTTTAGGCAGCTTCCTATCACTATTTACGAAAATAAGTGATTTTCTTGCTTGCCAACGAAAAAACCTTTGAATTGTGCGTTAGTCGATAGATAGAGCAGTGTTCAAACTCGTATCCCACTGGTTGAAAGTCAACTGTCTAAACCAATGAGCCAAAGTTCCAATGTATGTGTTAAGGACCACAACATAGTCACTTTGCTATGACAAAAAACACTGTATATTTTGTATATAACTGGAGATATTATTAGTGTCATTTGAATATGGCGGTACAATGGACCAAAAATAGTCGAGACACTCAACAAAACGCAAAAATCATCATTCAGCGTGACGTAGATACAGTGCAAATATCTCACATTTTTGTTCATACTAAAAAACTCTCACAGTCTAATTATTATTTTGGAAAAAACAAATAACGACATGACCTGAACCCTGACAACAGATTCTTGCAGCATCCTCCATGTGCCAACGCACCATCAGATCAATATTATTCTCATTATGATCAGCTTTCAGAAAACAAAATAACAGGAAAGTACAGTCTGTAACATCCTCCGTTACTCTGTCATAGTATTCGTGAAAAGCATCAAATAAATGTGAACACTTCACCAAACAGAAAAACGTTGTTTTCATTTACTAAGAATAGATAATCTTTGATGAACTGATTTTGAAGCAGCTTCTTTTCTCTCCTGTTGTTGTTAAAGTTAACGACTTTCCTTTTAAATTTTGAGGGGTTGTGGAGATTTGGAATTATTTCAAGTTGTTATTCATCGAAGACTGACATCAGTTGGATGAATAACAACTTGACTTTCCTTTTATAATCTCACGATCACGCTAGACATTTCAATATCAATGTCACATAATTCCAAGAATAAACCTTAGATATCGATCTTATCACCTAACACAGGCACAGTAATAACGATTATTCTCGATCAATGAAGTCAGATGACAAAGGTCTGTGTTATAATGTGTCTTCTTCAACACTTCCATAGTACTATAAACCCAAAAAACTTATGAAAACAGTCAACTTAATATGCTTAGGTCATAATTAAAATCGCACAAAGTAAAATATGATTAGTTAGTAAGGTCATTAGACTAGACAAAAAGAATACAGCTAATGATTACATACAGAGGGCATAGTAATATCGTAACAGACTGTTCATATTCCAGTTTCCTGATTGTAAGCAGATAATATTGATTCAAGCTGTTATTATGAACGCTGTGAACATACTTACTGCTGCCAAAACACACGCCTTCGAAACTAAGACAGGAAAGGAGTTATGCCACTGACCAGACTAGATGTAAGCAGGAGAGAAGATATACATTTCTATGTCTATAGAAAGTGTGTCTAGGTAGACATTTGTATAGAAAGTAAGCATTCAATATGACCTTTCGAAGAATTGACTACAAGTAGATACTTCAAATAACGCCAAGAAAGTAATTCATTTTAAAGGTAATCAGATAGCAGGTACTTGATTAGTTGATTGAAGATCCTGGGGCCAAAAATCAAACTGGAGTCGTATTAGTATTTCGGAAAATGAAAAAGGAACAACAAACATCTCATCCACTGCAGAACAAATCAATCATTTTGAGAAACAATACACCTGCAAAGACTATATGTGCATATTTTTCGGATAATTTATTTAATACCCCGTAAGTGAAACATAAATCACGTAGGACTGTACAGATCATGACTATAGTTAGCAGATTTATAGACTTATTTCTACTCAGTTGTATAGTGTTAACAATCCTATGCGAAGCAAGACAGAAGTGGAAGAGACAAGTTAGTATATACACTTTGATGATGATAATAATAATAATACAACAGAAAACAAAAATGATAATGAAGATTAACTGCCCATCATAGAATGAGCTTTTTGAACTCCCACGATTCACCCTATATCTTCCCTTCTCTTGATATCACAGAAACTATCTTCCCCCTCTTTTTTCGCATACTGGTTCTCAAATACAAAGTCACGATTTTTGGATATTTGTAAAACAGCTTAATCTTGAACATGAGGAAAGCACTATATAAAGCTCCAAAGGTATGAGTATATTTAACTACGTAACCGCCTATTCCCCGTGTTCCGCTTACACAATCTTATCCAGTGTTCCCAGGTTTCCAATGTTTCCCCAGCTGATGTCAGTCCATGATGAATCCCAACCTAAAATCAACTAATAAATCTCCACGAACCTTCAGATTGAATTAATCTAGTTCTCATTGGTGATTAACTTCAAGAGGTGATTCCCGAAGTTCCAATGAAAAGTCGTAACCAATGGAGCCAACCAAGTCAGATATGAAGACAGTTATTCAACGATGACATTAAATGGAGGTTGCGCTATATCGTCAACTGACAAAAGTAGGAAATACGGCTCAACGGTAACGCGCTGGCCTCGGAACCTGAAGGTCCTGGGTTCGGTCCCGGGTACAGTGGGGTCATGGGTGTGCACTGCTGAGAAGTCCCAGAGTAGATCGGAACAGATGTCCAGTGCTTCCAGGTTTCCAATGTTCCTCAAACTGGTATCAGTAGATGATGAAATTCAACGTGAAATATATGCTTTCTATCCATTATTAAGATTGTAGTTATCCAACAGTTGGTTTGAGATTGAATCAAGACAATCAGCATTTTGTGTTTATATCTCTGAATCACAATGAAGACTATGCCTGGAAAAAGGGCATGCATTTATCTAAACTAGCATATATGAAATATTATCATCATCATTATTACTAGAACCACTTGGAAAGCAAGTACCTCAACAACTAAACATGACACTTCAAGTACTGAATCTCTAATGTAACAGTATCGCTTATAAACTATCAGGCTACGGGACCCACAGTTCTCATACCCTATCATTAACAAATGAGTGCATTCCACATTGGTGTAAAATCTAGCTGATGATGCACAACACATTCTTAAAACAAACTAGTTGCTGATGCCCTCATCAAATAATTTTCCTTCCCAACATAAAAGTCGACAGCTACCTCAATTGTTCAAAAACATGTGGGTAACGCTGTAACATCTACAGATGAAAGCCTGTGAACTTTATATTTAGCACAGATGCATAATAATATACTCATTAGTAAACACACACACACAATTCATACTGGTCATTGATGATGAAAACGAGCAAATCTCAAACAATTTTGTCTTGTTGTTGTTGAAGTGAAATCGGCAAACCAATTAAAATCCTCCTCATATCACTGGACTAAGAGTAAATGCAAATCGACCTCTACGTCGTACGTCCTTGTAATATACGCCCGACAACAGACTTTTCGTCTTCACACTATGGTTTGAGTAATAAATTCAACATTAATGATGGATAGTGGCAAGCAGTGGAATCCAGTAAGCGCGTTTCGTCCTACTCCGGGCTCGTCAGCTGGACGTACCTGCCATTCAGCTAGTAATGTCTTTTCTGCCGGGACTCGAAACCTGGACCGATCACTTGAAACGCCAGTGTTGTCCACCAAACCACGATAGCCACTTCCTGCGCAACCAGAATATTTTAAGTGTTGTTGCTTGTATTATCCGTCGCTGACTGGACTGAATTGATCAGTCCTGCGCGGATGCATCCATATTGCCTGTGTTTTGATCATAAATTAATATGGGATAGTGGCCAGCAGTGGAATCAAAGACGCGCGTTTCGTTCTATTCCGGACTCATCAGCTGGATGTACCTACCTCGCACGAGAAGTGGCTATCGTGGCTCGGTGGTCTAGTGGATAACGCCCTGGCGTTTGGAGTGATCTGTCCCAAGTCCAAGTCCCGGTAGGAACAAAATCACTCACTGGGAGACAGGTACTTCCAGCTGACGGGTCCCAAATAGAACGAAGGGCACGTCCAGGATTCCACCGCTAGTCACTATCCACAATCAATATATAATTAAAATACAGGCAATATATCGAGACATCAACGACGGGATAATACAAGCAACAACAATAATTTCAACAGTTTAAATAAATTAGAACACTACTTGATCAACAATTTCTTTATTTCAATTTTTCGTTTAGAAAAAAAACAAAACAACTGTGAAACTCGAGCAACAGTTGAACAGTCACCTATGAGAGATACAATAATATATACTGAACAAGAAGAAGAAAAAACTCGATATGATAGCAACCAAAAAAAAATGAAAGAGAAACAGAACTAAAAATGAGGAAGGAAAGCAAGCGGAACCAATTCAACTCGAAGCTATTCAAATAGTACAACGCCTTCTAACAAATAATTAACCATAGCCAGCCATGAGCGTTAGTTTTCATGAACTATGAGATAAATGATAAAGTCAGTTGAACACAACTGTTTTTCACGTTGATACATGCAAACTTATGATAACAACAAGAAACAGTTTTATTTTGGAATGATTATGTAATGAAGAAACAACAACCAAAAACATCCTTCTCTTCTACAGTGTATGTAGATGGCAAAGATGACCAGGAGGAAAAAAAAACAGAGAAAAAGAAGTAATTCTTGTTCCTGTGTATTTTTTTTGTAAAGAAAGTCAAGTGTGAAACAACCGTGGAAGCTCGATTTACAGAGAGGATAAAGAGAGGCAAGAATACCTGTTGAATTAGCTAAGAAGATAGACACCAGGTATACTCACATGATTGTGTCAGAAGAAAATGTGTGTCAAGAAAAAGGCTATCAGGAAAGAAAAAAAAAACTCTCTAGATATGATAAAGATTTTCGGTGGAACCACACCGACTTCAACTCATCCCCAGGAAAGAATTCATTTTGAAGCTAAAAAACCAAGATAATCAAAAAAAAATCGAGCGAAATATTAATAATCAAGTATGGAGTTATTATTCAGATATGTGAGATGATAAAAATAGTACAAAATCTTGACAGTCATTAAAACAAACGATAATACGAAGGAAGAAAAGTTCAAAGTTCTAAGTAGATATAGTGTAAAACAACGAAAATCGAATTGAAGTGAACTCAACAACGTTGTGCATATTCGTGCAATAGGCAATGAGTAACACCTATTGTGTGAGAACTAATGATACTACTATCTGGCTACCTAAACTGCGGTAAGCTGAGTGGGGTTCGAACCCGTGGCTCATTGGTCGAAAGTCACCTCCTAATACTAACTAACCACAATAACCTTGTACAACACCAGGATTTGTTGTATATAGCGTAAAATTCGCTGATATTCATAATGACACTACTTGTGATTGTACTAATTCTCAACAGTCTCATCAATCCCTCGTATATCCATCATTATGATTAGCTTTGTGCAACACGGAGATTAAGTTGATAAACTATTCGCCTAGTGAGTGTTTCCACGCCCAACCTCTACCTCCACCACAATTTGATGATGAATAGAATATGATCGATGATGAGTATATTGACTTGGATTATCAAAATGACCTAGATACCAATTTAATATATAGGATAGGATTTTAACAGACCAACAAGATTATTGCAAACCATATATAATTCCATTACTGAACCTCTGACACCAAGTAACTTTCAGCTCTACATACTAATATATCCTAAGCAAGGCAACCTAGCATGAAGGTAGCTATTAGGCCGAAACAAGTTAGACACGTTTACAGTGTATAACAAATCAATATTTATTACCGTAACGTCGTCTCCTTTATTATACGTTTGGCAAGTTTCTACCAATCAAATTTCTCATTGGTTTAAGCAGTAGACTTTCAACTAATAGGTGACAGTTTTGATCATCGCTCCACCAACTAAATTTTAGGCATCCAGTTAGTATTGTCATCAACAGCCGTCACAGAATAGGTGTGACTTTGTGCCTATTGTACGAATGTGCATAAGGCTGATGAATGGATTTCAATTTCCCCTAACAACTAATTATCATGATGAGTTAAATACTTTTATTTTTGACAATAAATATAGAATTGTATTTGTGTAAATCACAGAGGGTTTGAAATCAAATAATTTCAACGTTTCGTACGGAAGTCTGATCCGAGCTTCTTCACGGAAATAATAAAAATATCAAGGATGTATAAATGAATTTTTAAAAAAACGTGTATTTAATCTCCTCGTCCAATCCTCTTTGTATAGTCATTGTCTTTCTAATTTATGGCGTAGGTATGCATGAATTGGAGTACATACACACACATACGCCATACAACAAAAAACATACGATTTCACACTGAATGATTAGTTATCATAATTTAGAAAGACAATGACTATACGAACAACAATGGACAAGTAGATGAAATACACGTTTTTTTTGAATTCATTTATATATTCCTTAATATTTTAATTTTGATTATTTACTCGAAGAGGCTCCGACCAGACTTCCATACGAAACAATGTTAGAATTATTTGATTTCAAACCCTCTGTGATTTACACAAATACAATTTTATATTTAATATTAACCTTTTATTCAGCGCCCAATATTTGCCACACCATACGACCAAATCTTGATCATAGTTTATATAAACTTTTATTTCAAGTTGTTATTCATCGTAGACTGACATCAGTTGGAGGAACAAAGGAAACCTGGGAGCACTGGACAGCTATTTCGTCCGACTAGTATGGGACTCCTCAGCAGTGCGCACCCACGACCCCACCAGCAGGGATCGAACCCGCGACCTTCAGGTTCCGCGGCCAGCGCGTTACCATTAGGTCAGAATCCAATGCTCCATATTTCCAACTTCTGTTAGCTCACAACTCCCTCAAAATTTAATTGAACTGGTGCTCATTGGTGACTAGTTTCGAGAAGTATTCCCAAAGTTCCAATGACAAGTCGTGACCGGTGGAATCAAAGCCTGATGGCCATGAGGACAAATACTCAGCGATGACATTGAGTGGCGGTTGCGCTATATATCGTGAGCTAACAGAAGTTGGAAATATGGAGCATTGGATTCTGACCCAATGGTAACGCGCTGGCCGCGGAACCTGAAGGTCACGGGTTCAATCCCTGCTGGTGGGGTCGTGGGTGCGCACTGCTGAGGAGTCCCATACTAGTCGGACGAAACAGCTGTCCAGTGCTCCCAGGTTTCCCTTGTTCCTCCAACTGATGTCAGTCTACGATGAATAACAACTTGAAATAATTCCAAATCTCCACAACTCCCTCAAAATTTAATAAACTTTTATCTTTGATTAGATAGTATGCTTTCATAAGTTAAGGTCTAGATGAACTACAAACAGGCATGTATGTATATGCGTGTGTATGCAGGTATTTATGTCTAGCAGAAAAACCTTGATAGAAGTGAGAAAAAAAAAAAGCAAGATAATAATTAACTGTTAACAGTTCATAATCGACATTCACGTTGATCAACTAGGTTATGAGTCACACACACACACATTGTTATTACGCTTCGACTTTTTTAAATTTAAATCAGTTTTATTCTACTACTAGCGTTAAACATACATAAAATGTATAATCTCTTTAGAAAAATCTGTAGAATTATATCACACAAAACTACATGCTGAATATAACACGAACATTTGAAGATGATAATGATGATAAAAACAGTTGAAACAAATAAGTGTAGTGTTAAATTCATTTCCATTGAATTAGTGTAGAACATCGAACACAGGTGTATCGGTTCAAGTTAACAAACTTCACAATAGCGTGCAAAGAACAAGTGGATAAGAAAAGATAAGGGTGTTTACGAGGAGAAGAAAATTATAAATGAAGTTTAGTCAAAATATTTAAGCTGTAGAAGACGTCTAGAGGTAGAATACATCAGAGCTGTTGTAACCAGTTTTCAGCCATTTCACCAAAAGTTCACTTGGGGACCTCATACCCAGGTAGTGTACACCTCCCTCTACATGATCTAGACCAGCAGTCAGGGACTTTATCGATTGATGCCATATCTTGGTTAAGTTACTCAGAGCCTTCTTCTAACCTAATTCAACTTAACCTAGCATTGCACGTCAAGGTAGGTGGTAGTTCGGCATGCGTAGTACATGTCTAAGTCATCTCAGCCGATGGAGGTTCGCAACCTCATTAATTGACTTACTCATATTACCTAGTATGCTTCACTTAACCTTAATATTGTTCACATGGTGATTCCACTGTACATGAGCAATGCTACGAAGATATCAGTGGTCAAAAACTTGTAACTGCTTTACATCTACTTATAACAATAATATCTCACAGCTTTACATATGTAGACAGTTAATTATCAACTCATTCACCAACCATGTCAGAAAACAAAATAATTAAGAATTCTACACTAACAACAAGGACTTTCTTAACAAACCAAAAAAACAAATAATATTACAAAAGTAGTCAACTAACTTGAAGGTTGGGATCCAAGTACACTAGGAATAGGAGCAGGAACAGGAACAGAAATAGTAGTCGATAAATGAACAGCATTCAATGAAATAGTATTTGTTACATTAGATGAAAGAGTAGATTGGTGTGGATTATTAGTTCGAGGTAGAGCAGCAGTCAGTGTTGTAGTAGGCATAGTTGTAGTTGATGAACCAAGTTGAGAGGATACATTTTCAATCTAACATAAGTAGAAATTTAAAAAAAATATGATAATACAAAAGTGAATAAATATGCTAATATTATCTGTTGTGAAAACTATCGTAGCTTGAAAGGTATAAGGAGAATTATACATTGATCAGATCAAGAATTAATAGGCTTAGGAGCTGATGATCACGACTAATCATGGTGTACACAATTAGTTAGTTACTGAAAGTTGTGAGTTTCGTAGATGCGGACAGTGAGAACATCAATACACAACTAGACACTTCAACTATATATACTTACTTCGTAATGATGCGAAACTTGAACTATGAATAAAATATAATATTTCATCAAAAAATAAGTGTTTCCACCTCCATCGATAAGTTAATCGTCATCAAAAGATAAGCAAAGATGTAGTATACTGAATCAATATACACAAAACAAGATATGATGTCGATAGACTCAAAACACTACCACCTATTATTAGTGTAAAGAACCTGTTTAAACCTTTATTCATCTTTCATTTTTGTCTTCTCGAATTATACTACTGTATCAAGGATGATGTTAACTGCATATTGCAGAATTGGACAATAAGGAGACAGAGGAAACATAATTAACTTTTCATGACGTGGTGAAGGTGTTTTGTCAGCTGTCATTTCTTATGTTTTTAATAAACCAAAATATTATACTTTGATCGAGTTAACTAATTTTATGCCTTACTGATGTCAATCAGTATGCGCCTATAACAATCAACTATAACACTACGGTGCACATCCCCAGTATTTCTTTTAATTACAATTAGAGAAAGAATTTTAATACATAAATCGTACCATTAAAACACATCTAGTCACGATTATTATTATTATTATTGCAGGCACACATTAATAAAGGCGCGTACAGTGTGAGAGCACACCTAAGACAGAAGATAATCACAGCAGAAGAATCACCGACTTTATTGAATAGCAACAAATTGAACTATATAATGAATGCATAGAATAAGAACAGCCTTAACATTTGGTCTTAGTAAATTAATTCACCAACTCACTTATATACATGGAAGACGTAGATTTTTCCTTACAGCGTTGTTCACTCCATTGTGCTATAGACCGAAAGTGAAATAATTTGTGTACTCATAAATGAAAATGAATTTACTATTGTTTTTATTATTTATTCATACTTTTTATTTCCCGGTGTTATTCTGAAGTGAAATGAGCAACCACTGTTACCATATGGCCTTCTGTGTCGACATCTCAATATTACCTGATTATTCATTATGTGGTAATTTGCTGGGTGGTAAATTAACCTGATGCGCCCCATATAGGACGAAACATGTGTTCTCGATTCCACCGCTAGCCATCACTACCACCAAATGAATTAAAACATGACCACCAATAACTGGTATTAATTTTCTTTATATTTTGTTCATTAAGAAATTACTGTACAACTTTTTTTCACGACAGAAGACTACAAGAATAAGACCGTTGTTATAATTATCAAAAATTATGTAGTAAGTGAATTTGAATAATACAAGAACAAGGACATTTCAATGGGGAAATAAGCTCATTTTGTTTCTTAGCCTTTCATCAGCTGAAAACAGCCTTCAATTGAAATGAAGTATCAATAGTAATAATGACGTACCCCTTTATATATGCAGAAGTAAATAATGATTCGAAAACCATTAATAAAATAGTGAGTTCAGAAAATTATTATTATTCTATTATTTGTTCCTTGGGTTCCTCACGGAACATAAAGCTTCAGTAGCACGTCTCCAGTCCAATCTATTCTCTGAAATCTTTACAACCTGGCTCCACCAATGCCCACAAGCTCTCATTTATTCCTCACACCATCTCCTCCATGTCACCTTCACCTCCGACGACCAACTACTCGTGTCCCATCTGGATTCCACTCGAGCAACTGATCTGGCACCCGATGTCCCCAGTCGGCCTTCTCAGTACATGCTCAATCCATCTCCACTTCCTTCCACTACATATTCCTTGAGCGATAGCTTCTTGCTTCCTTGGTTCGTTGCCAGCCAGTCAGAGTTCCCTGCTGCTCATTCTTATTATTCTGGCCATCTGATCTTCAGTAGCGAGGCAGCGAAGGCAGTTGTTGATCAATATCTGTAGTTCGTTGGAAATGCCTTTCGTGATGCACCGAGTCTCTGAGTCATACAGAAACACTGACTTGACTGACTTAGTGTTGAAAATCTGGATGTTGTTCTCGCTGTATGCTGAGTGTTGTGCACGAGATCTCCACACTGGTTTCAGGTTAATCAACGCCTGTCTTGCTGTCTTTCTGATCCTGACTGTCTTTGACGTCCTCGTGTGTGCCACGGTCGACTGTAGTTGGAACAGTGCTGTCTAGGTAGGTGTAGGTGAAAGAGGCTACTTCCTTCAAGTTTCTCCCATTGATGGTCATTTCAGCTTGTTGTTGTTGTTGCTGGTTGGGTATCTTCAAAACCTCTGTCTTCTCTACATTCACTTGAAGTCCCGTCTTTGCTGCCCTGACCTACCTCTTCTATCAACTTGTTACTTTTCGCCTGTAGATCTTCAAGTTTGTGTGACATTAGACATAAGTCATCACTGGCGAAATCCAAATCTTCTAGGTTCCTTTCCACGGTGCAGCCAGCGTATCCCCCTCTTCTCGCTCCTCATAGTCACCGGTTGCATGATCCAATCCACCACAATCATGAATATCATTGGTGATAGTAGGTGGCATCCTTGTTTCACTCCTGTCTCCTGTCTTCACTTCAAAAGCATCACTGAGCTTCCCAATGTGAGTTACTTTGCATGTAGCATCTTCATATAGTTGTTGAATGAGACTGATAAGGGTTTGTGGTATTCCGCAGTGTTGAAGCAATTGCCAAATTACTTGTCGGTCGATGCCTCAACCGAGGGCCTTTTCAAAGTGGATGAAGTTGAGGTGGAGGGTTGACTGACATTCTATATTCTATTCTATGATGATGCGCTGCGTTGCAATTTCGACCGCACATGATTTGTACTTCCTGAAGCCTGCCTATTCCGGAAATACATGATTAATAATCACAAATTCTAGCCAAAACCAACGGCATTTTATATTTGATGAGATAGAAAATTCTGGAGTTGTGCAAAGGGGCGGAAGGTAACAAACAGACTAGCGTGTAAAGAAAGGGGTTGTTAAATAGCTATCAGGTTACGTAATCAGCTGGGAGAAAATTGTAAGAAAGTTAGTCAAAGTGATTAGAAGTCACCAGTTAATTAACGAAAATGGTGATGCAATCAGAAAAGCTATACGAGTGCATATACAAAAATACATGCAGTTACCCGGCTAGGGATAAAAATCAGGTCCGTCCGATTTCATGGCGAATGCGCTAACCACTCAGCCACTGGGTCGGAGTTCAATGGTTCACAGGTTCTAACTTCTTTCAATTCACAATATAGCGCAACTATCGCCCAAAGTCTTCAGATGGCATTCACTTCCCTTTTGACTGGAATCTGAGGATCCTGAGTTCGATTGCAGGCCTGGTCGAGGGTGCAAACTGCTGAGGAGTCCGATACTAGGACGAAACAGCTGTCCAGTGCTCCCAGGTTTTCAGTGGTTCCCTACTGATGTCACTCTGTGATGACTACTACCTCATAAATATATGTATAAAAATATGTATTTCCTCGACTCATTACCTTATTTTTAATCCTGGATTTTAAATCTTCATTTACTCCTACATATTTAAAGTATACAATGTCATTACTACTTTTAATAGTTCATTTCAACTGTGGACTGTTTGCAGCTGACGAAAAGGTGTGGAATAAAATGAACTCATTTTATTGTGTAAATGTTTTTGCATTATTGAAATTTATCAAGTGAACTAAATGTATGAAATCTTTGGAAATAAACGAATTATTTTTGACGTTCTGTGAGTGTGTATGTGTGGAGTGGGGGCAGATGAGGTTGTCAGTGATTTACAGGATCCTGATATGCGAAATTTTACAGTTGTTAATTGGTTCTGAACCAAACAACTAAAATACAAAAAAATCCAACACAGCATGGCATCTCGACAGATTATTTTTCTTGTAAAAAAGTGGCAACACTGAAATTGTCTAGTTGTTAAGATGGATTCTCAACAAGGCTAGAATTAGAGTGGCATTTAAACCTACAAACTCACTCAGAGATAAACTTTGTCGGCTTAAGGATTCGATAGAACTAAAATAATCTAATCAATGAAATTCCATGTGATGACGGCGATATCAAGTACATAGGTCAAACTAACCGGTCGGGGGTTACAGCTAGATTGGCGGAACATAGAAATTTAGCTAAGTATAGAATGACAGACCAGAATAAGATCAATAATCTAGAAAAACACTCAGCTATTGCAGTGCATGCATTAACACACAATTACACAATAGGGTGGGATGAAACCACTGCACTTAAGTCAAATTTAATTAGGTGGAGAGAGACAGGTCAACTATTGAATCTTTGTTCATCGAATCTACTCCCAACACATGTATTAAAAATGACGCAACACCTATACCAGAAATATGGAAAACTTTACTACCAATAAAACAAAGAATATAAGGTGGATGGACTATGAAAACCAGATATCGAAGGGAGCGTGATTAGAATGATATGATTATAAGCAATAATTTATGCTCGAAACATCATCAAACGAATAATAATGTATCACTATCAGCTATTTATCACATAAACAAACTTAATATGGAATTACATTACCCAAGTTCTACACATATATTAAAAAGATAACTTCTTAGCATACGAAATTAGAATAGCCGAAGAAAACGAAATGCACTCAGTTACCTTATGCCCATCCATGCAGTAGACAATAAACGGCACCTATTATATGACGGCTGCTAACGATACTGCTTGGCTGCTAAAATCTCTATAGATAGAGTGGGGTTCGAAGCAGCGACCTTAGAAACCAATGGAAAACTTTCAAGTTCTACTTAACTCACTGTCCACTCTAACGTGATCATGATACTTAGATCTTATTTATATCACACCGATGATAAATTAACTGTGCTTTATTTTAGTAAGAAATTTTATATGAGGTTTTTATATAAAAAAAAAACAAGGTAGAATTACCAAGAGGAATCAGTAATTCAAGGCTGAACTGATTAACAGCAAAAAGCATACCCACCAACCCATCATACTAATAACAATTTATCCTAGGAAAATTATGATCAATAAAATTCATTTTTAAGACTAGGAATGTAGGTCTAAAATGAATGACGTCTTCAGAAAGAGAGAGGGGGGGGAGGAAGGGAGGGAGAGAGGTAAACTCAATAAAGATGACAGTTACACAAGAAATTATAAAAGTATACAGTCTTACCATATTACATCATCATTGGGTCGACATGATTCAATATGAGCTATTAGAAACCAATGAACATATAATGTTTTTGCTTGTATTATCCCAATCGTTGAGTAGACCAAATGATCGATCTCTATTGGCATATAGGCTCTGGTGTGGAGGCCTCGATATTGCCTGTATTTGAACCATATCTTAATGATAGACAGTGGCTAGCAGTGAAATCCAGGATGCGTGTTTCGTCCTATTCCGGACTCAACCGGCTATATCTGCTTCCCAGTGAGCGATATTATTCCCACTAGGACTCGATCTCAGAACCGGTTGTTTTACAGAACGCTTTAAATAAGACGAATTGGCCTTCTGAGTTCCACTGTCCATCACTAATATGCAATGAACATATAGTGTGAAAATAGGTATATCAAGAAATTTTAGTTGGTTGACTTCATGGGCGTATTAACCTCCTTTTGAATTAAATATGAAATTCATCAGTATGCATTTTTATATCGATTGCCTCCAGCCAACTAACATCTATCAAAGTGCATCGCAGTGCTGAGCCTTCTAGCTAGTTGGCCGCATTGCAAAATAGTAAAAAGGATTCAGTCAAAGCTCAGGACTAGGCAACATATGATTGGTCGCTCTCCAGTGAATCGAAGCACGAATAGCTGTGGTATCGTCACTGACTACAACACTGGGCGACGCGCGTTCGAATCTCACAGAGAACACCAGTTTACGCCCTGCTGATGCGTGCAAACAAGCAGGAGGCCTAGGTCAAGGGGGTCCTGCTAATTGTCTCCAACCAACTAATATTTATGTCTGCTAACCACAAAGGCATTTGGGGCTGAAATGCTTACGTGCCGTCGTCTTACCGCTGTGGGAAGGAGGGGTTGATATTCGTGGAATGATAAGTGTGAGATACGGGCGGTCTTAGAGAGATAACCTAGGTCAAGCACTCGCTACCATCCCCCTGCTAAGGTGAAAAGGGTAAATACCCGGGACATTGCAGTCTTCTTCGTTAGTAGGATTGCATGACCAGTTATGTATACCGGTTTCATCTATATGCACCCAATTAAAAGCAGTCCTCATTACGGTGGGTGACGTTCGGTCGACTGGGAAAACTAGGGAAAGCCTAGTAAAACCAAAGTGTGTATTATTCACCTTTAAAACCGAACATGAAATTCATGAATATGCATATTTCTGTCAATAGCATTTATTTCTTGTGGTGCAAAATTCAAGCTTTATACAAAACTCTGCAGTCATGTTTTATTAACACATTATTAAGTGAATGCTGCCTATGTAACTGTCTGCTAAGGATAAAGATAAATGAGTAAGAAGATTCGATGTTTGCATAGGAGATAATGAACTAGATTTCATCAGCGACTGACTTTCAACGTTGAAAGTCAACCACGCTACACAACAGCTGTTAGATGTGGAGACTTTTATTGATGAATAACTTGCAGGTCAACTAGTGAGGATCTTTGGATCAAGATGGCATGGTTTGTTGATACTCTCATCAGTAAGGTATACTGAAGTCTACCGTGATAAATTGCTGAGGATGCTTCAAATTTTGCGAAACACTAGTCTTACTAAGTACATACCATTTCGTAGTTAGGTGAATCCATATTTATCGTGATGATAATCCCCCATCAAAAAACAAAAAACACAGAGCGAGAATAGATGCTAATAAATTCAGGGGGGAAAACGGAAATCGAAGTGTACTCAACAACCTTGTGCATATTCATGCTTTTACGATCTAGGGAACCATAGCTGATTTAAAGAGCCATTCGCGATTTTACCATATTAAAACATGTATGGCTTAATCTCCGAAACAAGCATATGACTGCTGGAAGGATCAGCCAGTTTATTCACAGTACGATATATACCGGTCGTTTGAACGGATAATTGTACATTGGTTATCATGAGAGAACAGAACACACATCTAAGCTCTTTAAAACCAGGACGGTATACAGTCTCATTCAGTGGCGCAACCACACGGGTGCCTTCACCCCGATGGACTGTTCACACCATTTGTTTGCACAAATAAGCATTATTATTATTCCGATCAATGATCCCACCAATTAATTATGCACAACAGGGACAAGCCAGTTCTGACCTATCCCGTTTATATGACCTGTCAAACATGGTAGTATAGGCAAGGGTCGCCTGCATTACAACGCCCCGATGGCACGTAAGGCTCCTGAGAGCGATGCAAGCAACCATTAAATTCCATGGAATCGTTCGCCTAGTGAATCAATTTTATAGATGATAGGCTTTCAATAGACCATAAAGATCATTGCAAACCGTATGCAATTGTATTACTGAACCTCTGGCGCCATATAACTTTCAGCTCTGGATATAAATATATACCACGCTCTATAGATAGTAGGCAAGGCAGCCTAGCATCAAGCTGTTGGGCCCAAACAAGCTTAAAACCCATAGTCATAGGTCGAAATATCATAACTTTGCATCCACAATGCTTTTTATAACATTTGAAGTATTTTCATATTTTCGACTTTTTGGACCCAAGTTAGGAGTAGCATCCCCTTGAGCAACACTTATTAGATGAAGGTTGATAATGATGCTATATGGTTATCCAAATCTCGGTAGATGTAGCGGTGTTCGAGCCCATGACCCATCGGTTAAAGCCAATGAGCCACAGCTTCACACAATAAATTCAGATATGGAAACGGGTTTCCTTTAGCATACAAGTTATTCAATAACTAGTGAAAATATTCATAATCTGATATCTTACTGATTAGTACCAGTACCAGCCACCTTGTGCATATTCATACAGAAGGCAATGAGTTACACTTATTATGTAAGGGCTTCTCAAACCTTGGTAAGTGGGCCGGGGCTCAAACTCCCTACCTAATGGTTCGTAGTTATCTCTGTAAACCACTGAGCCACAGCTCCACAAAAAGTACCAATATACAGGTAGAGGATGATATACAGGCTACTCAATATTGCATTATATTAGTTACTCAAACGAAAGTAAAAGAAACGAACTGGATATTTAAAAGGAATTGCCTTGTTTGCTGATGGAATATTTGAAGCTGAATTGATATTTGCCAATGTTGTAACAGGCATAGGTTGATTCATATTGGACGGCATATTGACATTTGCACCACCATTAGCAATAGATCCCTGTCCTATTGATTCACTTGGTGTATGCACTCCATGTGTAGAACCAGTATAAGGACGCTGCTGTCTAGGTGGTCTTGGTGGTGGTGCCTGTTGTTGTTGGTTGGTTGTAGATGTTTGTGCAACCACAGAAGAAGCTGTTTGATCATCATCTTCCAGACTAGCCGGTGCCACCTGAATTGCATTTAAAATCAAAATGTTTTACCTCATTATTACCATTATTATTTCTTTAAAGAATAATTCACCTTTGTGAACATAAAAGTGAAATATATACAACAAAATAACTAGGAAAACTAATAATATTGTTTAACAGTCTAACTAATTGCAGTTCAATAATTCTAGTTTATTAATTCATTTGTTTGTGGCTAGCAGAGGAATCCAGTGTGCGCATTTCATCCTGTTTGGGACTCACTCGTCAGCTGGGTGCACCTGCACCCCAGTAAATGAAGTTGTTCCCACCAAGACTCGAACGTCGTATCCATTGCTTGAAACGCCAAAGCACTATCCGTTAGGTCACTATGGCACGATAGCCACCTCCTGTGCAAAGCATAATAGTTATGACTATTTGTTGATATACTTGTAATTCTCCACTGTTATACTGGACCCGATTGTTCGACCTATGTTTGTATATCGGCCTCTATGGGCATGCCTTGATATTACCTAAATATTTATTATGATAATTTACTTGGTTGTGGCTAGCAGAGGGATCCAGAACGCGCCTTTCATTCTATTTGGGACTCGTCACCTGGATGCACCTGCAGCCTACAAGTATATCAACGAGCAGTAATAACTAATACGCGTTGTATAAGAGGTGATTATGGCGCCTCAGTGGCCTGGTGGATAACGTCTTGGCGTTTGAAGCGATGGGTGTGGGGTTCGAGTCTTAGTGGGAAGAACACGGAGGTGCAAATACATCCAGCTGACAAGTCCTAAATAGAACAAAACGCGCGTCCTGAATTCCTCTGCTAACTACAACCAAGTAAATTACCATAATAAATATTCAGGCAATATGAGCATAGAGGCGCAAATGAAAACAGAGGTCGAACAATCCAATCTAGTATAATAACGGAGAATTATAAGTATTTTTGCTGATTAGAAGTGTCACAGACTGAAACAGTATTATTCACTGCGTCAGAAAACCAGATGTCATTCCCAAAACAGAAATAGCGTTAAGTGCAATAGGTAAGACAATTGTAGATGAAGTTTCGAACACAATGTGCACTGAAACTGAAATAAAGGAAGAAAATGAAACTTAATTTACTTCAACTAGAAAAAGAATCTTTTAAGAACCTTCGAAGCGATAATAATAATTATATAGTGATTGACAAATCGGATAAGGATAACTCAAAGACTTCACTGAACTAATCAGACTGTTGATATAAGTTTTGGGTAGTATCCATCATGGACTGACATCAGTTGGAGAACGATTGCTTCGTCCTAATATTAGAGTCCCCAGCCGTATGCACCCACCACCCCTCCAAGGTCCCGACCCTGGCAAACACACTAAACATTCAACCACTTAGTCGGAACCCAATGATCCACAGTTTCCTAATTCTGTCACTACAATTCTTTATCCACTTCACTTCCGATTGGTTGACTTCATATGTCACAACTTTTTATAAGAATTTCGGCGCATAGTCGTATCATCTCACATTCTTTGTTTCTAGTGGTAGTAAAGTTTTCCGTATCTCTGGTATAGGTGTTGCGTCATTCCTATTAAATGTGTGCGGTGTGGATTCTTTGAACAAAGACCCAGTAATTAATCTATCTCTCCACTTAATTAAATTGGACTTAAGTACAGTGGTTTCAGCCCACCCTATTGTGTGGTTGTGTGTTATTGCATGCGTTGCAATATAAACGAATTCTCTTCTGGTTTATTGATCCTATTGGAGTCTGTCATTCTATATACAGGTAAATTCTTATGTTCCGCTAATCTAACTGATCCTGACGGGCTACTTTGACCTATGTACTTCACCTCACAGTCAATACATGGAGTTCGGTTAATTAGATTAAATTGCTTAATTGAATCTATCGGATCCTTAAGCTGGAAAAGCACATCTCTGAGTGAGTTTGTAAGTTAAAATGCCACCGTAATTGTACCCCTGTTGAGAAATCTACGTAAAGTTTTTGATGTTCCTTCCTAATATGGTAACACAATGGAGGCTTCGAACTTATTTCCATTCTCATGTTATCGCTGTTATTTGCATTTGTGCGAATTTCTCAATAAACTGTAGGAGATAATTATGAATTACTAACGTTTCTTTTGTGTGTCAGTTCCTTGTCTAAGTCAAGCACTACTGACTGACTAGCGAGTTCTCTAGCTCTATTATCCAAAATTTGACTAAACAAAGAATATAAGGCGATATTATTGAAAGTTGTGTGACCACATTGATATGATTATGAATGGTAATTTATACTCAAAACATCATCAAGTAAGTAATACTGTATCATTGTGTGCTATATCAAATTAGTAAATCTGATTATATTTGCAAAGTGAATGAACACAGAAGAACAAAACCATATGAAGAAAGTAAAAAGGTTAAGAAATCGACAGGAGATTTAACACACCGAGTGAGGCTATTTCATGATGAGTCAAGATAGTTAAACTTAATGCCGAAAACTAAAATCCCAGGGGAATTTGTAGTATTATGAAGATTTATAAGTCAAGCTAGTAAAAAATACCGTTTCACTGTGTAACACATCTAATAAACAGACTAAAATGGAATTATAATCTACCACAGTCAGACAGACAGGCATAATCAACGTAAAACCTCTCATACAAGTGCATCGACTCAAGTTACCATACTTCGCAGTGATATACAAAGAGAGGAGATTAGAAAAAGAGTGATATCATAGTAGTAGACTGAGTTGTGTGAGAGAATGAACAATTTGAAAATAAAGGTTAACACAAATAGTCAAGCTTTACAAGACGTCAAGGAATGAATACATTAACGCTACTGCGACCAACTTTAAGTCATGTCACCGAGTCCCTCAATAATTAATTCCTATCGTATCAGGGACCCCAGTCAGGTAGTCTACATCTTCTCCACAGGACTCAAACCAACAGTCAAGGACTTCATTATCTGGTGCCACGTCTTGGTCTGGTCACCCTGAAACCTCATCCAACCCAATCCATCTTCCCCCAGCATCCAAATAAGAGAAAATCTATGCAAAGTAAAGAGTATCAAAACATACCGTGAATTTGTTAGCTATAGTTGCTGCACCCGAACTAATAACAGTAGGTCTAGTCGAAACTATATTAGATGATTCTGTTGGTAAATTAGCAGAGGCATGATGGTGATGATGATGAGGAGGAGGATGATCAATTTTGCTAACATCTTTGTTGACATCAAGAGGAATCATATGCTCATGAGAGGGATTGGAAGCTACAGGATTGCACACAGGATTAGGCACAGATGTATTGAGTGAAACACTAGACGGTGTAACAATAAAACGATTTAAAGTCATATTTGAAGAAACAGGTAATTTTGAATTTGTCGACATAGCATGAGTATTTAAGAGTTGATTATTTCCAGATGCACAAGAAGGCACTGTAACATTTCCTGTACAATTGAAGGTTATATCTTGATTTGATGATTGTTGAGCTTGACCTTGTGCTTGTTGCATGGACTGCGGTTGCTGTTGTTGGGGATTCCCAGAATGTTGTTGTTGCTGCAATAGAGTAATTAACTTATTTTGAACATCCACAGGAAGCAAACCAGCCTGGAAACAGAAAGACATGACTTGCTTACACACTATATATGTATGAAGAGGTTAGATTTGAATAAATTTAAACACTTTTGATGTTTTGGCTAATCATCGTTGGTAATTAACTTCAATTTAACTACTGAATGAGGGTATAATCAATCAGTTACTATCATTTATTGAACGTCAAATGTAATCAGGGGTGTGACACAAGCCTGGTTCAGTAAATAATGTTGACCAGATTTCACCAAAATAAAACCCGAGTTCATTTTGATGGTTTGAGCAACCACAACAATCAGGTCATCCATGAAATATGAGTCTACTGCACAGATAACCGACTTTCAGTCATGTCACCAAGAGTTCTCAACCAATCATTCCTATCCTCTCGGGATTTCACAGTCAGGTGGTCTACATCTCCTTATACGACTCAAACCAATAGTCAGATACCTCATGGACTGGTGCCACGTCCACGTCTCGCTACCATGAACCCTCTTCTAACCTAACCTAACTTCCCTAGCATGGCACATCAAGGTAGACAAGTGGAACACATGTCAGAGCCACCTCAGTCGACTAAGGTTCACAAGTCCCATCAATCGACTTGCCTATCTTGCCTAGTACCCTCAACATGACTTCAACATTGCTCACACAGTCATTCCACCAAACACGAGCAATGCTACGAAGAGACCTATGGTCAAAATCCGATAACTGTTTCATGTCTTTTACTTTTAATGGCTATATCTCACAGCCGTACAACTGGACAGAATGGACTGCACCGCAGTATACTCGTCCTTTGATAGGTAGTCGGATATCTCACCAGTCGGCACCACAGGTAACGCAACTTGGTAAACGCTACATGGAGTTCGGCTTCACATAATTATTTCTATGCATTTTTCATCCACTCAGCAGTTTGTCCATGCAGTATAGTCATTTGGGGCGATTCCTCTGACACAATTCCTCCAACTAAACAAAGATGATTTTGACAAACTCTGCACAAAAGTATATCAATGAAATATAGTTTCTTGTAATGTGCTTCTCTCTCTTTTTGTGAATTACTTCATAACAGCCTCCTTGAAAACATGGACAGAGTTTTCTCAAATCATACATTACTTTTCACTGGCTTAAGAGCAGAATTCTTTATATGTTATTTTGTCATTACCAGACCAATGAATACTTTCGCATCATGAAATCTTACCACATACCTGTACACATAAACATGCACAATCTGAGTATTTTACTTTTGAGTACTTCTACAGTGACAAATAAAGCAATATCATCTATTCCTTCATTTATTAAAACACCCATTACACATAAGCAGGTTTACATACACTTCACTGAAGAATATTATTTAGAGACAATCTTAAAACATAAATTTAAATAAACTAACTGGTGATGTTTGTTGTAGTTTACTATTTCCCTCATTTCAGTAAATTTTGCTGACTATAAATAATGCAGATTTCTAGATATCTGTAAATAAATTTGATATCATCATTTTCTAAATGCTACCTTTTTCTTACAGACCCTGAACGAAGCGAAAAACCATAATTCTTAACCTGAATTACAAGGCTTCATTACTTCTGATGATCAGTAAGTTAGATTCAAAGATAACTACCAAACTGTGCACGATAAAAAATAGTTTTCAGATTGCCAAATCTAGTGTGAAGGCTCTCACATCCGGTTTAACCGACAGAGGAATGATCCTAATTATCCTATCTTAATCCTCTTATACGACCACATGTTCATAACCTCAGACAGAGAAGCCCTTCTCACTACCTTAAAGTAATAGGGAGTGTTCCACAAAATTGAGAGGGTGAAATAAAAATTTTTTTGGAGAGTTCATCTAGGAGAGTTGGTAAACTCTAATTTCATTCAAACCATTGGTGCTCATGAGATTCATGGTCTAAAAAGGATGAGTGGTGTGGGAACCTGCCTTTTTCATCGGCGACCACAGGAATGCAGGACCATATGTTAATCTGCCGCCAGGTATATCACACTTTAAGTCAAACGCTCGGGATGGCGTCTTCAAAGACAACCATCTCATTTGGTATGACCATCCGAGCAGCATCACACGCCGCATGCAACTTATAAATGAAAATTAATGATAAAGTATGCATACCGTTGATCAAATCTTCCTGCAAAAAGTCAAATTCACTGTGTAACAAAATTTCTACGCTAAAACTTTATTTGTTTTTATATCGTCGTTACTCTTACATCTGAACTACGCTACATTCTCGTCATCAGTTCCAGATCTGATAACGATGGCGTTATCTGATATGCCTTTGTCTCTCACACGACAAATCATGTAGCACTTACGTAAGGACCATGGCGCTTGGTGAAAAGAAAGCGTGAGTGAGATGAAAGCAGCAACTGCATTTGCCAATAGTCGGGAGCTGTTTCAACTCATTGGAACCATCGGCAACCAAAGACCTGGTGTACTTGAGATGGGGTCTCTGAAGTAGGTGGTACGCCGATCACCAACTTTCCTAGAAGCCTGGAACGTCAGGTGGGATACTCCGAAGTGTGACTCAGCTAGCCTACTGCTACAGCACCATAGACCTGCGTCCAATAATCTATGGTTAGTTAACACCGACCCACCTAACGAAGTGGAGACCTGCAAGGAACTACAAGTATTAAAGCACCAGAGGACATCCGGTCTAGACAACGTAACTTTGGTGTTTTTAAAGAGTGGAGATGGAACTGTACTCGGGGAATTGATCACACTGTTTGAGTGGGGTATCGCAAACTGAGTCTTTCCCATCACTTTGGAATGACGTTACCACCGTACCCAATCTTTAAAAAGGGGTTGTGTTATGTGTGTGATAATCATCGAAAAACCAGTCTACCATCAGTAGTCTAAAGTACTGACAACCGTCATACTTTACAGACATTGTGAAACGCGTGAACAATTGTTGCGCAAGTAGCAGGTAGGTTTTCGCCCAGGTTGTAACCATGTGTTCACTCTGTCAGATGTTTGAACACGGTCGTACGCATTGCAGGTCAACGATAGTTGTTTCTAGATATTTAAGCTGCCTTCGATTCGTTGGAAAGGGTTGTGTTCTAGAATTTCTTGTTTGTTGAAAGCTCAATGCTGTAATACCTCACCTAGAGTGACGGCATATAGTCACCGTAGTTAGACAGGGCTATCTGATATCATTATTCTTCTTTAAATTCGAAATACTTCTGAAGGTCTGTGAAGATGATGGTGTACACCTACTAGCAGTTGAACGAAATTTCGACCGTCATAATTCGGGCGATACAGAAGCAACTCATATCGTACTTAATCAGTTAGCCATTAGTATCTGTAGGTTTGATATGTGTTTCGCACTATCGATGTGTAAAGTGATTCTACAAAATCGGCAGGAATCGAAATGTACTCAGCCACCAAGTGCATGTTTGTGCAGTAGACAATGAGCTACACGTATTGTGTAACAGTTAATGATACTACTTGGTTGTCTAAACCACGGTAGGAGGAGTGGGTTTCGAACCTATGACCAACTGGTTGAAATTTGAATGCCTAAATCAGTGAGCAACAGAAAGAGTCTGTTCGTGTACTCGCCGACGGTAGTGAATTGTTGGAAGTTATCCTGAAATTTTGGCACATGGGTAGCTGCATGAGTGTTTGTAGAAGTGTAACTGATGGGATTTTTAACTACATATCGAAAGCCAAAGCGGCATACACCAATCTAGGTAAAGCACGCCGTCATCGTAACTTTAGCTTGTATGTAGACGATCCAGTATAAGTGTCGGTGCATGCAGTTCTATCTACACCTGTGAAACTTAATCTCATCGAGCTTGGGATGCCCGACGACTTTGCCTGTTTGATCACCTCTGTCTCCGTAGGACTGATAGCATATGGTGCTAAGTGTTTGGACGTGACAGAGATTGTCATTCATCGGGTGATACTATCTAAGAACAGCAGCTCCAGTGGCTCAGACATGCATCGCAAATTTAATCTTGAGGATTTCCTAACAATTCACTCTTCGATTTCCCTGGCAAGAAGATGAGGAGAGGTGGAGTCACGGGACGAAGGATATGTTTACATGGCATTTGTCAGTGCCTCACGACTCCCTGGATGGGATTCAAAAGATTATGCGGCTGTTGCTTGAGAGGATAGGACATATGGCTCAGAACCGAAACCGATGGGAGTCATACTGCAGCTTTTTTGTTTTTCCTATTATCCAAAACTAAGACGAAAGTAATAAATACTTCCCTGAATGCATTTTTAAGAGACTGTTTATGTTTTTCTTTCTGCACTTATTTCTCTCTTTCCATAACGCACTTTGATTTCTTAGTGTTGATATCACTTAGTATAGTGCACTCCCCTGGCGCCCATGTTGTACCAAGTCCCGCTTAAACAGATGATGAAATTAGGTAGAGGTATCTTCAACGTAAAATAAATTATTATTCTGTGACTTGTCAACAGAATAATTCACAGCATTTTCATACACTTTACCAATTAAAATCTCTCTCTCTCTTATTATCACTTACATACATGCACACACTAGATAAAAATGTAATCCGAAAAAGTCCATTGTAATTTACCTCTTTCGTAGATTATTTACACACTATCATGTTAGTTAGGCAATCACCGCCTACTTAACGAGCTGATAATTATAACAAACAAAATGCGAAAGTGATATAGACATTTTTAAAAAGGGGTCAGCCAAATGACCTATATTCATTTCCAAAAATTTTGTTCGCTGTTACAAAACATAGTGATGAAGTTAACATGCATTCTGACTATTATTTTATGCGTGATATAAAAAATATGAATTTGACCAAACAAAATAAGTATACAGTATGCAAGTATGTTGTTGCTTGTATTATCCTTAAGTTAGTCTTAGTGAAAACAACATCGCTCACTTGGAGGCAGGTATATCCAGCTGACGAGTCGCAAATAGGACGAAACGCGTGTCCTGGATTCCACTTCTAGCTACTATCTATCACTCAGTAACTAAGTATATCTCGAAAGGTAGTTTTTGTAGCACCAAAATGAAGTCTTATGAACTAGGAAGGTATGAAGTCTGCAGAGATCACTCCAGCTAATACACCTGTAACAAAGTTATGAATCTGATGATAAATATCCTTGTAAAGCGTCACTGATTGTTTTCATTTCATTCGATGAATTAGTCTACTCGTTCCATTTATAGTCAGGAAGTGTTGAAAGACATTCGATCGATGTAGTAAAATGTCACACCACCAAGTCAATACTCATGCTGCCTGCAGCAGGTACCTGTGAGTAACCATGTGTTCCAGTACTTAATATAGGGTCAGTATCTAATAACATTTAGATCCCAAACACATATGGTTTTAAGATGATGGAGAATATTATTTACAGCTGAAGAGGGGACGATTTTGACGTTGTTTTCGGAGCTGGATGATTTAAACGTGAAGCCTTGGCAGAAACAACCAACTACACATAAGGCTATCACAAGTTACTAAGCCACTTCTGGCGAAGGCCCCATAGCTCACTTCTTTCTTAAGTTTGCGCCGATGATGTTGCCTAGAATGATAATGAGGAAAGCTTCACGATTAAACCATCCAGAGCAAAGAACACAACACCATCAAAACATACAGTTTCCCCAAGTTTAATATTTCATCTGTAACTTTATACATCGGATAACTACGAATTCCAAGATTTATCAAAACGTATAAGTCAAAATAATTCCTTTGTAGTTGTTTTGACAAGAAGAAAGTGGTAGTGACAATCAATTAATGTGGTAATGCTCGATTGAATAATCGTTAAAACTCCGGTTGGCGTACTGTTATATTCTGCACAGGAAGGTAAGATAGTTAAAATTTCCATTGCTAGGTGCTACTCTTAGTTAAGCAAAGATATAGTATCAATGTACAAAATAACTGACTGCCAGCCACAGTCGTATACACGATTGAAGACGGTTTGGTAGGGATCCCATAAATATTCACGGTTAATGACTGGAAATTATTTGGTGGTATGGACCACTATTAATTGAAATAGTATATAGTTTTTCACTGTATTCAAAATCGTGATTATTACTATGATAAACCTACTGTTACTGTTTCACTATCCACCTCTGTCTTTAGTTTAGTGTCTGCGAGTTTGAGAAGTATTGACTAGGGGACTTTAGTGATAGTCGCAAGCGCGAAGCAGGTATTTGTCAAAAAAGTATTTCCTGTCTGCCTATTCATTTTTATCGAAAAACTTCATTCGTCTTTGGAAACAGTTTAAGCGATTTGTTTTTTTAGTTGCATCGCGCTTCGCTTCACAAGTTACTATGAATTATCTAAATTGTAAATATCTAAGCCTATTTTGGTAGTAATGACGGATAAGTTGTTAGCATTGAGATCCAGGACATATGTTTCATCCCATTTTGGACTCTTCAGTTGAACGCATGAATGACTACCAGTGAGTGATGTCCACACTATGACTTGAACTTGGACTGATAGCGCAGTAGCCTTTATGTCAATAGTGGCCGTTCAATTCGGTTTAGTCAATGAAGAAGAATTACGAGCAATAACACATGCGGGTCCAGTTGTTTGTTCGGAGCATGATTGGAAAGCTGCTGATTTAGTGGCCAATATAAATCATAAAGTATTGGGTAGCACTCACTCACATACATCACATCTATAGTGGTTTAAAAATCGTATCAACACTTACTGCACTTAATGGACAGATGTAGGCGTAAGTGTACTGCTCAAACTTGTATGATTCACATAGCAGCTAAGTGAACTACATAAATAAGATAAGCTTTTGATTAGTTTGAGCAGTGTAAACAGCTGTCATGCAAAAACACTATGGTGTGAAGAGAGAGATAAACTTCACCACCGGTACAAAGCAACAAAGAAAGTTAACGTCACTTGAGCAGCTTCTTACAACGACACATTAAAACACACGAAAATTGGATTGAATTGAAATCCACGCAGAAGCCTTGTGCATATTTGTGCAGTAGGTGATGAGTCACACTTATTGTGTGAGGGCTAATGGTCCTACCTCGGTAGACAGGGTGGTGTCGGAGACTATGACCTATTGGTTGAAAGTCAACCCCCTAAACCAATAAGCCGAAACTTCAGATCAAAGGCAGGAAAGTTAAGTGGTTGGATTAATAAGTTACAACTTCACACACCTGTTTAATGAAACTGTACACATAAAGAAAAGCACAGCCATGATTATAAGAACTTACGCTATTGCTATCCGATGTCTGCTGAAGTAGGCGGACTGCGTTCGCTAACTCGGGTAAAATCTGACTGAGGTAAGAATGAGCTGCAGGTAAAGATAATTGTTGTTGATTTCTGTCTTTCCCTGGTAACGGTGCAGAATTTTTCGGCATGATATTTGATAGGTGTTGTGGTTGTTGCCACTGTGATGGCTGTTGAAAATGCTGGTTTATTGGAGGGTGAAATATATGAGGTTGTTGAGATGCAGGCTGTTGATGGGTTTGCATCTGCAGAGATTGTTGTTGCGTTGTTGACTGCACCGGTTGAGTTTGATGCATCGGTTGCTGCTGTGTTGCAATTTGTGATGTCTGTGGCTGATCGACTTGATGTGTCTGTATTTGAGGAGTTATCACCGGAAGTTGTTGCTGTTGCATCTGTGATGGTGGCAAATGAGACAGAATCTGAACCGCTTGTTGATGCTGGTTTATTTGAGTAGGCTGAGTTAATGGTTGTGCCTGGTTAGGTTGCTGAACTTGTCCAGATATTTGAGAAGTTTGTTGCTGTCCTTGGACCTGCGGTGTTGGAACTGGTGGTGTTTGAGGTTGTGTTTGTGATTGCATCTGGGTTGGTTGCTGTTGTGGCATGACTGAAGATGAATGCTGAAGTTGTGACTGAAGTTGAGTCGGTTGTTGGTGAGATGTCATTTGAGGTAACTGTTGTTGTTGTTGTTGCTGCTGCTGCAATGAAGGCTGTTGAGGTGTTTGAGGTGTATGAATACCACCACAATGGACTGATGAGGACTTCACTATGGATTGGACATTCACCCCATCCTGACTGTCCACATTAGATGAAGCTGATGACAAATTGGTTTGCAAAAGAGGACGCATTTGAACACCTTGAAGTTTACTCACCTCACTAAACTTTGACCATTCAGAGTTGGCAACCGCAGAAGCTAACAAGCGGCTTAATAGTGCAGGCAAGGAATTCACACTGGCTGCGCATGCCCCTATATTGGATACTGGAGGGCTAGCAACACTCAGTCTCTGAGGTATATGACTAGCTTGTGACTGAGACGGTGTCGTGGATTGTATTGGTACTGGGGGAGAAGCTTGTCTATGATGTCGAATTACACCTACGCTTGGACCAGTGGCAACAACTCCAGAATTTGCTGTTGCTTTAGAAGATGAATTGACAACCTGATTGGAAGTCTTCAAGAGATTCGACAAGAGTTGAGGTACCTAAAAAAATTTCGATGAAATAGTTATTTACATAAACATTTAGGATCTGTGCCAAACTTTTAGGCATAAGAACGACTTGGTCATGAAGTAGGTCAATCAAGAAATGAATATCACTCAGAAATAAATGCAGATTCATGAATCAGTTGACCGCACATATTTCATGTGAGACTCGATAAAAAAAGTTAGCTCTTGGGATCCCCGGATGAGAGGGGTCAGTAGTCGAGGCAGATTGGCTGAAAATTGATAAAAAATGGCACAGATATGTTCACTCTTTGACATTTTCTAAAGCTTGGATATTTTCACTAACCAATTCCAAATTCTATATCTCCCGTCCCCCATACACCTTTATCTACTTTAATATCAGTCTTTTTCTATCCACTAGTTTTTTTCATGCTACTGTGCAGTGTGGCAACTTGAACCGATACACCTAGGTGCGAGGTTCTGCGGTGATTCACTTTGATCTTAGCTCCACAGACAGTGCAAGGTTAGAATCCTTGACAACTGTCGAAAGACAAATGCTCATTTCAATTAGTCATCAAAAAAAGACAAATAGAAAAGAAAGTACATTCATATACATAAGCAATCAGTGTTTTTGAAGACTGACTTAACTGTTTAAACACTCGATTTCCACAGATTCAGTTCTAACCAAACAGTATTTGTTTGAAGGAGAACCAGATACTATCAAATAACCTTCAGTACAATGGGTGAATCAGAGTTCAGTTTTCGAACCTAAATACACTTGTTGAATTGTAATCGTCCCAAACAAGAAGTATAATAATGCAGCCAACTCATCACAATTATATTCTCGCCTTCAACTGATCCATCACATATCGTAATTACTATGACAAATAGCTTGTATAGAAATCTCATAAGAATATTTAAAAACTCCATCTTCGATCCCTGAGGAAGTCAATGACATACAACGATCATGTTTTTGAAACCAGAATCAAAGTCATCAATCTACTTTATTAATTCTTCAGACGATGCCGTTTCTAATAGTCAATCAGTAAATTCAGTCAATACAGATGCTCCGATTTTAACAGCTAATAATATGTAGTACAATAGTTTTATCTTAAAAAAAACACTTACTTGATCTAATGTTTGTAGAGTATTCAGTGCCGATAATAGTTGTATAAGTTGCTGAGTGTTTGGTGAAGCTATTGATTGCTGTTGCAATTCTTTCGGTTGCATCAATTGGGTTGGTACATGTGTCGGCTGTTGTTGTATGCCTAGCTGTTGTATATTTGACAGACTTGCAGGATTTACATGAGTCACTGACAGGTGTTCTGGCATTGATTTCATATGCAACAGTTGTTGTTGTGAGTATATATTGTTCACCGGTAAAGACAGCTGATTTTGTGCAACCACAGACTGATTTGATTGAAGCATATCATTTGAAGGATATGGTTGGTTGATATACGCAGTACCACATGATGTGTGTGCTTCTAATGCAGATGGAGGAACTGACTGCAGAGGAGATGGTTGACTCATTGACTGGATGAAAGACTGTATTTGATTAGGTAGAGAAAGTCGTGAAGCAGCGATGTTTGAAGAAACTGGACCCGGTGAGTTATTGGTCGATTGCTGACCAACAGATGCAGGGATCGAAAATTGAAGACTTGATTGAACACCTGTCTGAAGAAGTGGACCTTGAGCTTGTTGCTGCTGACTCAGTAAATTTTGTGGTGGTTGGTTAGTAGTCATTCCAGACGAAGAAGTAGGTTGTGCTTGTGAAGTGTAGTGTCCCTGAGTTGCAGGAACCGCTGTTGTAGCTGAAGATGATCGACGACTTAAAGACTCAGCTCCTGGAACACTATCAAATATCGTAGTTTTGGATTCAACTTGAGCATTTTCATGGTCAACATTTGCGGCAGTCAAATTTAAATGATACGGTTGCATTGCACCTTGAGGTGCATCACGAAGGGCTAACAGAAGTGCAAGTACATCATCGAAACTTAATGCATCAGCATCAGCTGGAATAGGCAACTCACGAACATACACAGATGATACGGTTGGATGGTATGTACCAGATTCATGATGAGGAGAGGTTCGAGGACTGACAGTGTGACTTTGATCTATTGAACGCACTGGGACAACAAGAGCAGCTCTATCTAGCAAATGAATGTTGCCCGTATGTGTTAAAATGAGTGCTGAGTCTCTTGGGAGTTTGTATATATGCGGCCCCGAAAAAGTATCATCAGAATGAGTATCAGCAACCAGAATATATGCCTTATCAATATCATTTTTGGCACTTGTTACAAATGTGCTACGTAAATAAGTGCCAGATGGCATGCGTCCATCCCCAGGAACACCAACAAAAATGTGTTCTTCTGGTATATCAACCACACGCACACTAGAACAATGAGAAACAGATGAAGCATCATTAGACTCTAAGGTTGGTATCAAGATACAGGGATGAGAAGGATTTGAACACAACTTGGAAACCAAACTTCGTAAAGTAGCCTCCAAAAAGCTGGGAATGGTTATTGTAACATTTACTAGTCCTTCAGGATTAAAAGGAGATGAAGAACTATAACTGGCCCCACCTTGATTACAAGAAACATGGTTTAGATGGGGTATATTATACAACGCATGGGGGCCATATGACTGGTAGGCAGCATTATTTTCAGGTTGAACGTTTACTCCTGGATCACAAGATGTTGACTCATTGCATGAAGTTGACCCTGAATCTCCAATAAACCCACTAGCTAACTGATTGGTATGAGGTGGAGCAAGTGGAGGTACTTCTTCTAGACCTGCTTGAAAACTCATAAGGTTTGCACCATTCTCTGCACGAACAGTAGCTAAAGATAAGATATCGTTTACATAGTTTAAATTCATCGGCAACATGGATTGTGAAAAAAAATTGTTGTTTGAAATATCAGATCCAAGAACACTCTCAGAAAATTGCCCAAAATCACCCCTAGGCCTGCTATTGGCAACTGAATCAACGGTAGATAAACCCTCAGCAGAAGACGAAGCAGTGAAGTACGATGCACACTGACTACTTGTAGGAGCTTTAAAACTACCTAGTGATTCAATGCCATCGACTATAGTTTGAAAAGGGAAATGGATTGTTTGATTCCCATTATCAGCAGGAGATAAGGGTCTAGAATTTTCACTGAATTCATCTTCATCTTCATGATCTAAGAGAAAAGACATGATCAAATAAGAGCATAAGTAATATAACTGGTTCAATTTCGTAAATTGAGCACAAGCTAATACAAAAAGAATAATTAAGGGAACGTTTATTGTTAATCTAATCATTAAAACCAAAGTGATGATAGCCAAGATGTTTGAGTGTATACCATGAGTCTAAGGAGATCATCGTATGAGTAACGTTGAGGTCAGGGGAAGGGTACTAGACAAGACAGGCAAGTTGATTGATAAACCTATGAAGCTTAGTCGACTGAAACGGATTGGACATATGTTCCACATGTCGAGTTACAGCCTACTTCGAAGTGCCATGCTAGAAGTTGAATTAGGTTGGAAGAGAGTACACGGTAGCCAGACCAAGATGTAACACAAGTCAATGATTTCCCTGACCGTTGCTTTAAGCCACGTGGGGAGACGCAGACCCCTCGTTGGGGTCCCCGAGACGACAGGAATGAGTGGTTGAGGACTCGTCACCTAATTACACAGACGTTGACCAGATCACAGGTGGATTTTCTTCAGATCTAGAATATGCAGATGACATAGTCCTGTTAGGTGAAGACGCTGACAAGATGCAGAGTCTTCGGAACACGTTGAGTGGGAATTTGAGAATGTTTGGGATGCGATTTTCACCACCCAAATGCAAATTTCTGCTCCAGGACTGGTCTTCAGCGGTGCCGTGGCTAACAATAGAGAGTGAAGTGGTTGAGTGTGTTGACCACTTCACTTACCTGGGAAGTAGGATCAACCGTGGTGGGTTTGTTGCCGATGAGATTTCTGCACGGATACAAAAGGCTCGATTGGCTTTTGCCAATTTGCGCCACCTATGGCGCCGCCGTGATATTCGTTTGTCTATTAAGGGTCGCGTGTACTGCACAACAGTCCGCTCTGTTCTACTGTATGGCTGTGAAACATGGCCATTGAAAGTTAAAGACATGAGAAGGCTTCAGGTGTTTGACCACCGTTGCCTTCGTAGTATAGGACGTATTCCGTGGTGTCACCACATGAGTAATGCAGAAGTTAGGTGTAGAGTTTTAGGGAGAAGAGGTAAGTCAGTTGACGAGGTTGTGAACCTTCATCGACTGAGATGGTTGGGACACGTACTACGTATGCTTAGTCACCGATTGCCTCATCACACAATGTTGGCTGAAGTAGGTCCAGGCTGGAATAAGGCTCGAGGTGGTCAGACTAAAACATGGCAACAAGGTATGAAGTCTCTGACTGTTGGTTTAAGCCATGTAGGACGATGCAGACTAGGTGGTTGGGGTCTACGGGACACGAGAAACCAGTGGTTGGAGACCCTAGGTGATATGGCTCAGAACCGAAGTCAGTGGCACAGATGTATACACACATAATCCTCATCTTAACAACGCTATACCGAATCTCACCATTTTGTCACTCCTCTTTCCTTTCTTCTCGTACTTGATATTTCTTTTGACTGCATTCACTTATCTTCATCCTTCGCCTCACTACCTTACTTGATGTACTGATATGAGGTGTGGCAACTCGGACCGTAAGGCAGTAATGCCTGGTCCTATGTTGATAATGATGATGCTAGGAATCGAACACAATAGCACAGATGTATACACATTCTGACATCTAAAAATTGAATATTTGCTTAACCGTTATCTGTAGATTTGTTCTTCTCTCACACACCTACCTTGATTTCACTGTTTTTCCCTCCACCTGTTTTTTGCATACTACTGTAAAGTGTGGCAACTGGAGACGATGCACATGTGTGCGAGGTTCTACGTTTGTTCTGTCTGTCTGAGGAGATTAAAGCTATCTTCCTATTTCCATCAAGAGCATAACGCTAATAATATTGGGGAAATTGCCTCAAAAGGCCAATCAATCCCTTATTTAGTGATATCTTAACAATTTGTAACTAGTGCTAAAAATATATAATTATTCCACAAGAGAAGTTCATAAAATTACAAGCTATCCTATCAATTGGCTTACAGTTCATGATTCTTCAGGAATGCAAATAACTATGAAGAAAAGATGAATTAAGAATCAAAAAATGAACCTTCCAAAAACTACATACCAGTGGCAGTGGAGAACAAAAACTCAAGGAATCAAAAATAATTACAGAGAAAATAATCTAAGTGTACAATCGGGTAGACGTCAACTAACTTTTAGAATCTAACGGTTGAACTTCTTCAAAATTAGACATGAAGGCTGAAGCATCATGTGGGACTGCTGAGGAATAAGGCAGACCGCTGCTCGAACTCTGTAACCCACCTCCACCATATAAACCAGTGAAAACAGGTGCACCAGACTGAACTACAGTAGTATTCGATAAGGTGGTAGGCAAATTAGATAAACTAGGTGTTGATAATGTTTGATCTAATCCAACAGGAGATGGTCGAGGATAGAAAATATAATCCTGATTTAATTTTACCGAGTTAACATCATTACGTAAAGCCTCCAGCAGGCTGATAACTGCTTCTTTGGCCGCACGATCAATATCCTCATTTGCCGGAGTGTAACCAGATCCTTGAAACTAGAAAAAAAGTAAATAATGGGTTGTAGATATGCGGTGATCAAGTTTGAATCAATAAACAAATCTGTAACAGAAACATTGATGACAGTTTTCTGAATACTTATATTTCCCGTTTCTATACAGTCCCGAATCACTCAACCTCTGTAGGCAAATGGGTTCCTATGCGGATGCCTCGATACTATCGGACGTTCATGTTATATTCATCTTGGTACCAAACAGTGGAATTCAGAATGCGCATTTCATTCTATTCGGGACTTGTGAACCGGATGAACCTGCACTCCAGTGAGTCATGTTCTTCCCAGTACCCATTGTTTCAAACGCCAAAACGTTATCCACTAGGTCACCGGTGTTTGAAACGATGCGTATGGGGTTCGAATCTCAGTGGGAAGAACACCACTCACTGAGGTGCAGGTAAATCCAGCTAACAAGTCCCAAGTAGGAGAAAACACGCGTTATGGATCCCACTGTCAGTCACCAAGACGATGGTAGTTTTTAAAAAAAATACCTCCTAATGCCACTGATTTTTACATAATTGACTATATCAACAAATGAGTTGGAACAGCATATTGTGCATATTCACAAAATCCGTTTCCATGCCAATATGATTATCACTGAAATTACTAATACTGGGAAGGAATTACGGAAGCTGCTACATACACGTTATTCATGTCTGAAAAGTATAATCATCGCTGTTAACCATGAGCTTGTGACAGGTGGGGAAAAAAACTATATTCACATCTTGGTATTTAGTAGTTCAAACGAGACAGAGAGACGCAATCAACACAATACACACAGGTACATCGGCTCAAGTCACCACACTTCATAGAAGTACACGAAGAACAGGTGGATAGAAAAGGAATGGTATCAAAGAAGATAAAGTTGTGTAAGAGAATAACAATTTGAAGAAAACGGTTAGTACAAATATCCAAGCTTTTGATTTCAAAGATTGAATACGTCTCCACCACTGTGAACGATTTTCAGCTTCTTCACAAAGAGTCCTCAACCACTCACTCCTATCGTCTCAAAAACCTTACCCGAGTAGTCTACATCTCCCACACGACTCAGGCCAGTATTCAGGGACATCATCAACTTGGGTCACATCTTGGTCTGGTCACCATGAACTTTCTTCCAACCTACTTAACTTCCCCTAGCATGGTGCATCGAAGTAGGCAGTGGCTTGGCATTCAGAACACATGCCCAAGTCACACCTCAGTTAACTGAGGTTCACAATCACGATCAATCGACTTGGCTTTCTTCCCTATTACCCTTCGCCTGATCTCAACATTGCTCACACAGTCATTCCACCAAAAGTGAGCAACGCTGAGCAGATACCTATGATCGAAACTCTATAATCGCTTCATGCCTTCTACTTTTAACGGCCAGGTCATACAGCCATACAACAGGATAGAACTAACTGCAGCGCAGTGTTCTCGTCCTTTGATGGATAGTCGGATATCCTGCAAGTAGGCGCTACAGATAACGTAAGTTGGCGAATACTGAACTGGCATCCTGTTTCCAAGATGATGTTTCGTCAGCAACCAGTCAGTTCGAGCTGATGCAACTTACCAAGTGGAGTGACAGACAAATTCAACCACTATACTCCCCATCCTTAAACTCAAAGTGGTTGGAGAAAAGTCCTACAGCATCATCTTACACCTGACAGGTGTCAGCAAAATGCATGCCAAACATAGTCACATTTCTGATTAATGTGTCCAGAAGACCCTGGCATTGTACCAGCGTCTTCACTCAGCAAGGTCATATCGTCTGGATACTCCAAATTAACCACATTGACTTCAGGGAGCGGATCAATCTCTTTGAAGTCAGACGTACCTAAGGTTATGTCAATTAGTACGTTTATGACAGTGGGCATTCGTGGTGGATACTACTAATTGTTGTCAGTTCACACGACAACTCTCCATAAGCCCTTAATATAGCTGGGTGAGTTCAAGTAGAGAGCTTTGATAAACGAGGTTGAAAGGGTATGTCAATAAACAAACTGATCGGTAACCAACTTCATATTGCTTAGTCTCTTAAGTGCTGACTGAATTCTATCCATTCTTTCAGAATGTTGTCATTAGGTTAGGAAATTCATCATCATGGTGCATCTTGAGTGATGTTAGGTGCCTAGAAGTAATTGGAAATAAGTCATGCAACCAGGTTTTTGCGGCTGTTGACGATTATCGCAAACATGAAACTTACATCCAAAGCTTATTGTTAATTGCTGAAGTATTTCCCTGTAATTGATTGAGTACAACACCAAATTGTAATGTAAGAATTCGTATTTAGAATTCAGCTGTATACAAGTTCGAATGAAGAGCCTTTGGTGAAGTAATATACTTGCCTCACAAATTCACTGTTATGAAAGCTTCACGTGGACAGAGTGAAACGGTGAGTTCAGATCAAGAAAGACATGTGATTACTACCAGATGCCGGCAAGTATGCTTACGTTTCAGGTCCTCACATACAGAGTAAAGATCTGTTATAGAGACAAAAAGCAAGGTTCCAAACACCTGCCAGATACTCTCATGATGGATGTTCCAAAATACCAATAAAATATTGTTTATTGCTCAAAGACCAAAATGACAAACGATCGATGCCAACCACAGAGGACAATGTCAGATTCAAACACCCGAGTTAATATATATATATATATATATATATATACTACAATAAAGTTTCGCTGATTGTCAACTTTTTCCCATTAGGCTAAACCACCAACTACTATAATCCATGACGCTGCATCTTTCATCACGTCACAGCCTTCGATACTCACCACAGCTTATGACCAATGTGTAGGCTTTTTTACCAAATGAGATTGAAGCTAGTTCCATTTCTCATCACGATCGAAATTTATCGTGGTGTTTCTATACGTCAAAAACTAAACATCATATCGATTCGCCTGTCTTCATCAAGGACAGGAACGCTGAAAAGAACGTTTTAAAAACAATTTGGTTAGGTAGTTGCATTACAATCTGGATTTCATAGTCCTATGCTTCATAGTCTATCTGTATTCGCTTAACAAAATGGAAACTTAGGAGGTATTCGTACCACTAAAACATCATTGTGTAACCAGATTAGACACTATATTCTTAGCTCTTTAAAACCCTGAAAGCCAGGGAGTTGACTAGATTTTTCAGGAAGTATGAAAAACTGAGTGTTTAGTAATTTGGAATGAAGTCATTTTATAAGGCACCTTCAATCTGAAGATCACTGAGTTGGAATTGTATCATTAATTTATACAAGATGCGTATATATTGATGGTGTATTCAGTGAAAGGGAGAGAGAATTTTACTCCAATTATCAGCTCAGCTCCCAGTTCCTTCCCCCACCTAGGGATTTATCTCCTCACCAAGCAAGAAACACCATAGTAACACATCATATGAAAACGAATACTCCTACCAGGGCATCCTGTTAACGCTTCCTCAAAATTGACCAATGTAATCCCGAAACCATCCCAAATATTCGGCATCGGATAGGGCAACGCATCCACACACTAACCGGGTAATCGAACCGTTTGACAATACTTACGGGCAGATCTGAGTGGGGCGTATCTCCCTGGAGTCTCTACAATCTATAAGAAGAAATGCACCTTACTTTCCTGAAAAGACGTTTCTCTGGGAATAGCCCACGAGGCAATAACGCCGGCTGGCTCCTTTCGGGCTACTGAAATATAGCCAAGGCTAGGGCGAACCACGGGCAGAAACCATCCCCGGTTTTGCAGACCAGTAGCACGACGACTCACAAAATCTAACCGCATCATGCAGAGCTTCTTTCCTATGACGCCCTGTGACGTAACTACGACGGAGTCATTTGGCTACCTTGAAAGAATCATAATTGATGCATTTACCAACATTCAGATACTTTAACATTATCACAGATATTGTGACCATCTATCGCTCCAGATATCGAGAATACATTCACATCGTTTGAAATAATTGCACTACAAAATTGTCTTTTAAAAAGGAGTGTTAGTATCTTTAAAGTCTGGCAACAAAAATCCTGTCTAACAAATGGTTTACGAACAGCTTTCCTTTGTTTCAAATTTGCAGTGGGTTAAAATTTACTTGTGAGATTTAACAACTTCTCCATCAATTTATAATCGATGACATTCATCAAACAGTTATGAAGGGATTGATGACCCAAGAACGGTTTATCGACACTGAACGTCAACGAAACCAATTCCCTATATATCTAAAATATAGGTTACTTCAACGACAACTTTTTTTGTGGGTACTAATATAGTTGATGGAAACGACCTGCTCTATAAACTTGCAAAGTACTCTTGCGAAAATTGGTTTCAGGTTATATCTCCACCGTTAGAAATAGTACATGGGTAGTTTCACTCCCTAGACAGAGTACCAACCATTTTCCTTTCAGTGGCTGAAAGTTGTAGATTACCTTAACTAGTTAGTAAATATTTCAATAGAACACAATTTATAGCTCCATGATATTAGTTTTAGACATATTCGTATCCTGATAGAACAAAAATAGCAGAGTTAAACCACCTATCCAAAGTTTGGCTATATACTCCTTTGTTTATGAGTGTTTGAATTATATTAATGATGGATAGTGGCTAGCAGTGGAATCCAGGAAGCGCGTTTCGTCCTATTCCAGAATCGTTAGCTGGATATACCTGCCTCCCAGTGAGCGATATTCTTCCCACCAGGACTCGAACCCAAGGTCGATCGCTTCAAACGCCAAACCGTTATCCACTAGACCACCAAGTCACAGCAGCCACTTCTTGCGAGACGGGTGTAGTTTTAATGTCGTTGCTTAAATTAGCCCTTGCTTGCACTAACCATTATTAATATAATTCAAGCACATCCAATATTGAGGCATCTGCGCAGGAGCCCATATACCAATAGAGACCGATCAATTAGGACCAACCAACGACGGGATAATACAAGCCACAATAATCAAACTACACCCATCACATAAGGAGTGGCTATCTTGACTCGGTGATCTACTGGATAACGTTCCGGCGTTTGAAGGAATGGGTTCAGAGTTCGAGTCTGGATTCCACTGCTAGCCACTATCTATAACTAATATCTTCTTAATTATTTCTAGATTTATGTGTTGGGGAGTGAAGTTTAATCCAGTTCATGAAATTATTACAAGATAATTGATCCATCAAAGTAGGTTTCTTTGGGTTCTCAATAACTATATTGACGATGGTTTAGGTGTTTTAGAACTAAATTTCACTGTACAACTAAGTTTTTTTTTTTTTTGAGTTTTACTCACTTTATGGGATTAGCATTACAGTTCCATACTACATTCTACCTTTGCATTTAAAAATATCTTATTTATCAACTTTTAAATTTAAGGTTTGTAGGAAGTTAGAGTGCACAGATTTCGAGAGTTTAAAAATATAGGCAATCAAATTTAAGGTTTGTAGGAAGTTAGAGTGCACAGATTTCGAGAGTTTAAAAATATAGGCAATCTAAAGCAACAGTGCATTATCTGAAATTATCACTTTTGGGAACAAGGTAAAATATAAACAAATGCGGTACTCTATAAGGCAAAAGGAGTTAGGATGTAATATTTTGATTAAGGCTTAAAGCAACTTCCTCAGCTTCCAACACATTCACAACATTCAAACTCCCCGGTTAAATGGTGACGTTTTATCATTCTTTATTTATCTTAATCATGCTCCAGTTAAAACAGCACTAGAGATCAACATTATAAAAGGGTTCACTAAGTTTTTATACCAACCTAAGCCATCTATAGTGTCACTGTGACAAGAGTGCTTATTAAGGATCAAGTGTACTGCGCAACAGTTCGCTCCCCCCCCCTCCCCCCCTTACCATGAAAAATGATCATTTGAGGCAGAAAACAGTGAAGGCCCTAAGGTGTTCAACCATCACTGCCTTCTTAACATAGGTCGTGTGTCTTGAAACCACAATACATCTGTAACGTGAAATTCAACCATAGCGTCTTAAGCAGAACATATGGACTAAGTGAAGTTGTGAATACTAATCAACATTGATAATCGGGACATGTGTCAGGTATTCCTAGTCACCGTGTACCTCATTTCACAATGCTAACCGGGAAAAGGTCGGATTGGTCAGAATAAAAACTGGTATCAATTCATGAAGTTTAAAACTATTGGTCTGACCCATGTAGACAAATGTAAACTCGTTTGTGGTTCACATGGTAACTGAATTCAGTGGTTAGAAACACTAAGTGGTAGGGTCAAGAAGCGATCTCAGTGATGCAGCTGCATTTACACATTATCGTTCTATCACTTCTCTCTCTGTTTTTACGACTTTTAATCACCTTAGATTACTTCCTTCCATATTTCATGATCTTTCGTCACTGTGCTTACAAGCCTGATATGCTGATATATGGGGTGTGGAAGCTATAACTGTTACACAGTACTACCACCAGGTCTCATGCTGATTTTGATTGATTACGCAAGTGAGGTAGCATGCGTAAATATGGACATATCAGGCCTACCTCTGCATTGTTTTACTTTTTTCCCCCATCTATTCGTGTAGCATTTATTCTCTTTGAGATGTTCGACCATACATATTTCTTTGCATAATCGTTTGCATCTACTGTGTCAGTGTACGTTTGAATATGATGGTCATTGATATACAGAGTAATGCCATCTATATAATAAACGTACAAAGCAAAAACATCCCACAGGCTTTCAAAGTCTATATCTTATAGCTTTGTGTCGCAAGAAGTGGAACAATGGTCAGTTGATGAAGTGGTGTCATGAAATAATAACTGGGTTTGATGAACATATTTTAGTGCATTGCGGTTACCCAGCTAGGTACCTAAACATCACTTGACTCGTTAGCTTTAGATGTTATCTGAAATACTTTTAAAAAGCTTTTTGGCATCATAGTGAAATTACAATTGACAGACACACACACAAAAAAAAACATACCAGTTTTATATCTTCCGGTGTATCGGATAAATTACATCGAAACGTTATCTTCCATAATTCATTCGGATTATTCAAATCTGGCATCTCCAAATAGAATGTTGGTCGCAGATTACCAGGTTCACAGTTTTCAGAATCTCTTTCTATCTTAGTTACACGCAATACATATCGAGGTTTAGATTTCAGTTTCTTTCTTGTCCTACGTTCAATAGGCTAAAAACGATGTAAATTAAATAATTGGTAATAAGTAAAAGGGTAAAATTCATAAAATCAGTTACTATAACTGCTAGCAAACGAAACAAACGTAGATGAGGTATACATTAGCACCACGACACATGCTGGTAGATGTTAGTTGGGTGGAGGCAGTCAACAGGAAGCGCTGGATCTAGGTCTCATGCTTACTGACGAGTGCCAACAAGTACGAAACCTAGGTTCAGGGCTTCCTGTCGACTGCCTTTAACCAACTAACATCTGCCCAAGTCCACCGCGATGCTGAGCCTTCTAGCTTGGTGGCCCCATTGTAAATATGGTTGATAGAATTCCGTCTGCACTCAGGACGAGAAAACATGAAGTTGGTTGCTCTCCCGTGACTAATCAATGTATTTCTTCGATACATTCCGCTTTACTATCGTGAACTACCAGTCAAGTAGAGATGATATAGAAATGGGTGCAATTCAGTGACAGCCTACAGTTTCATAAAGCCTAATAGGATCACCTAGGAAAGTATTATAATGCGGAATAAAATTGCTATGATCTGCATAAAAAGCTCTAAATCTCTTAAGCTTGTTACAACCAACCGTTCTACCCAGAAGTTCTGGGAGGAAGCAGATGAACCAACACGCGAATGTCAGATTGGTTGAAGAAATAAAAAACCAACAGAACTCAAATCTAGAAAGACCAGAAATAATCAAGGTCATATATATAAACCCTTGTATTTTGTATGCATTTTTGATGTTACAAAAGACCTTCATTATCTTAACACCTTCAACCATTCATAGAGAAACCAAACGACCAGCAAAGGGTGGAATTTGAAGGTTATTGTTCAAGTGTCCGCCTATATATAACTCTGAGGTTATTATCGAGTAGTCACTACCAGGCTATAACAGAAAGCATATGAAACAAGGTTGATGTAACCGATACATTTTCTTTTATCAAACTAACGACGGATGCATACCCGCATAATTTTGTATTTGATCATTGATAAAATCCAGTAATATGCCGTTATTCGTCTGCATTGCAACATCTGATTTACATATATGTAACTGATACAGTAAAGGAATAACTTTTAACAACTTGAAATAGACAAACAAATTATGAAGGAACTATATGAGCACACAACTTGTATGGAATTACACAACTCTATTTCAGACACACAGAAAAAAAAGTACTTTGCATTTTTTTTTAATGAAAACATTTATTTTTTGTGGATTCAAAATAAATAATAATTGAATACGTTATCCTGATATAGAAAGTAACACAACATTCGAGTGAGCAGTGCCAAAACCAGTCACATTTTCCGATACATCATCGATTGTATTACAGAGAGGCTGGAAAACAACACAGAATGTTGGACATAAGTGTATCACTTCACATTACTACACTTCTCAAGGGGGACGAAAGATAAAGTCAACTTTCACTAGAAACAAAAGAATAATATAATATAGAGTAGATTGAGAGTGGATAGTTAAGATTTAGCGCAAAATATGAAGGGATAAATCTTCAGCAATGCGATAGTGCTTCAATTATTTCATCTAGAGTAGGGGAACTAAACTCTCTATCCGTGACAAACAATTATGAAGACGAGATTATGATACGAAACTATTTAGTTTTAACTTGGAGGTTTCTTCCCCTGAACTTGCAGGAGCTTTCAAGACTAGCTAACTAATTTGGGTTAATCCACATAAATTGAATAAATAGTTAATCCAGACGATGACAGAGCTTTGTTCGACATGAACCTCATGGAAATCAAAATTCCACAAGGAATATAGTGATACACATATGGAAATCAGCATGAACATATATAAGACAAATGTATTGACTGAGAGAGAGTGAGAAACTCCTATTTTCTGCTCAGTACCCAGTTCAAGGCCGTTTATTTGAACGTCGTAATCATCAGAACCTGGGAGATCGATCCCCTTAGCCTACAGAAAACATTATGGCAACGCATAAAACATGAAAACGAATACTCTTGCCAGAGAACTCTGTTAACGCCTACCTGGAAACTAATCAGTTTAGTCCCAAAACCCTGACAAATGTCAGGTTTCAACGTATTCACATTCGCCGGGTAATCGGATCGTTTGACCATACTTACATCTCCGTGGGCGAATGCAGGTGGGACACGTTTCACTGAGTCTCCATAATCTTACAGAATGAAATGCATCTCACCTTCCCAAAAGATTATCTTTCCATCACCAGAATTTCACAAACGGAGGCTGCTCCCAGACTATTATTATTGCCAAGGAAACTGTGAAGAAACAACCAGCATTTCGAGTTGAATACCACCCACCTTCAGAAGGGCGACTACCCCACTTCTCTTGGAACTGCTTCAACAACAGTGACTACCGTATTAAAGAAGCTGGATTCCCTTACCTTTATACTGAACTCCGCTCAGAGCACTGGGTGGAATCATAACGGTTAACTAGGCCGCCCTTACTTTGGAGACCGACGCTACTGATCTGCAAATATGAAAATCGACAACTGCGTTTACTACAAAGTTAACTCTAACAGCGCATTCATCGACACCTGGCGAGCTCGTATGGAGGCTCACCGTCGTTGTGTAACTATCCTCGACCCTAAACCACCAGTGCACAAACCATCTGTGATTTTCCAGACCAGCAGTACGAGAATCTACAAAACCTGACCGCGTCGTGTACAGCTTCTTCATGTTGATGTCCTATCACCACATTAGAGAGTCATAGTTACTCATGCGCCTGCAATAATGACTGACCCAAACTTATATCCGTTATTTAGATGAGACCACATTTTACTTAAGAACACGAAAAAATGACACGCATCTGCTGACTGACGAAAGGAGCATCAAAAATCCCCGTTGCTTTTCGTCCTACACTTTTGTTGCACGGGTTATGAACTGTAGAATACGAAAATCACTAACCATCAACGTAACAAAAATGAATGATAGGGAAAAAGAACCAATAAATCATGAAGTAATATTACTAAGTAAGCGATGAAGGTTGTCGAATGCAGTAACCACTCCCAATTATAACTGGAATAGGTAAGTAATATTTTACAATAGCTCATCTACTTATAACAGGTTTTAGATCGAATGAAATTACAAACGTTCAGCTGACTATCTGAAGCGTTGTACTGAACATGAAGAAGCGTATGTCACCTCCAAGTAGGTGAAGTTGAAGATACTATATATAGAAACTGCTCGAAGTAACAATACCACAACTACTTTTTACTCTGATCCTAAAACAATAATACTACTGAATAATACCAGTAACAAAACATGCTGTTTTTGATAGATATCCAGTTGACTTCAATGCAGGAAGACTAGAAAATCAGTAATAATTATATAGATAAAAAGGCGAATAATTGTTAACCTAGTCTTTTATAAATGCATACACACTTATGTATACGCTAGTACGATCAAACTTAAGCTACAAAGAAAGTTTAGATAGAAATGATGAAAATCAAGTTCAATAAGTTAGATTAAAACATATCTTACGTAATGAAGGTTCAATGACAGCTATATATATGTATATATACACACACTTCATGCTGTTTAACACCTTGTAAAAGATTAACAGTTAGTAAAGATTGATAAGTGTAACAAAGTTTTTGATTGCAGTAACCAAGTATATTAAAACTAAAATTGAATTCACGTCGATTGAACTATCTTCAGCTTTATTTAACAAGAGGAAACAACTGATCACCTTCATGTCACTAAACACATAACAGACCTAAGCCTTTTCAGAAATTAATTTATTTAGTTGTTAATATTTCTCTTCAGAAATTGATGAGAACAGAATCTTTTTCGTAATAACGCAGAAACTAGTATTTTAAGAATCAAACCGACAAAGGGAGAACTTATTTTTTCACACTGCATAAAACAAGTGTGAAGATATGACTGTGGAAGTTCTGTGCATGTCTGAGTGCAAGTGATATATGTCTCAATGCTTGGGTCTAGAGCTGAGTTTATTTGATATGGCGGGACTGTTTCAGACAGTGCATATAGGTTACCTTCTTTGGCTTCATGTGGATGAAGGCGGCGTCCGCGGTAGACTGAAATTCTGTATCCATTGTGAAGAAGGATCCCTTCATGGTGCTATACGGGCATCGTGAGATGTCCAGGAGCTAGTGGAGTAATCTGTTGGACCTCATATTCGGTCGTCAAGGATAATGGTAAGTTTAGTGAGTCTTTCGAAAGATCCAGCGAAAGGCCGCCAAAAACGTCCAAAACAGTGAATCAAAGTGTAAGGTATGATTTTAGGGTGGTGGCGATGGGGTTCGCTAGTTCAGACGCATGCTAGAATGTCCCTATCATATAAATGTCCTAAGTGGATGTGTCTGATGCTTTTATGAGATACCACAGGAAACAATCTTATATAAATGAGTGACTCACCAACTTCACCCGCTGTGTTTCGCTTGCGGTCATAAGCTGTTGCACGTTATATACTGCTCCTACCGATAGTCCTCCAGCGCACGGAACAGAGGTAAAATATTTTGGTTCCGATCGCATACCTCGTCATCTAATTAGGGACGCACATGAATGCCTATTCCATGGTTCACATTCAGTTGCCCTTGGTTGGTTAGCTGGCTTGCTGATGATTCTGATGGCTATGACATTTCGAACTTAGTTGCTGTACGGTACCAGCTGATAATCAGATATGAACATGAGGACCAACTCACCATCTTTCCGTCCAGCGCTAGGGTTCTAAGTGAATAAACCTACCAAGCAACGGTAATGGTGGGGCTAATAGATGTTTACAAATACTTTGAGGTACCTAACCTGCTTGTGTAACGTCATTCACCGAGCGACGAGAGACTGTGCAAAGGCACGCAACGTATGATGTAAGTCTGTGACCTCCCCGGAGTGGAACCGAGTTGGCCGGTGCGCTTGCCTATATATCTGGCATGAGTTGCAGGTTAATAATGAGGTCGCCCTGGTGACTGGACCAGTAGTCGTTACTGAAAACTCGAAGCAATGAAGCTTTTATTTTCCCTCCTGGGTGGGGAATGGGTCTTCGGAAGCACTCACTCATTGACCAGGCATAACCGTATGTCCCCAGTTTTGAAATGATATAACAGAGCTAGATGACACAAAACTAGTCAACCTCAAGGAGATTTTCCAAACAACAGAAACCATAGTAAATAACAAGGTAGTTTGACATTTTCTAACAGAAAAGAAAAACTAAATAAGGAACGAACTGTAACATATACTAGAAAGTTCTTTTGTTTTTAGTAACCTGATACAGTTTTACGTGGTTTGTTAACGGACACGACAATTTAGTTAGAAAAGTAGTATCATTATGTCCTATTTAAACAAAAACGAACGATTAAACAATCGGCAATTTTCGATCAAAATTCTGACCGCTAACACCTAGTTGCAATATTTCAGCAACATTGACTAAAATTTAGTGATATATAACTACTGCATTAGAATGGACCGAAGCGCAGTATGTTAATACTCTGATAGACAGTCGGATATCTCACCAATCAGCACCACAGATGATATTAGTTGGTAAATCCCTTATGTATCCGAGCTGAGATTTTGTCAGCAACCACCCTGTTTGGGTTAAGACAACTCCCCGAGTAAATGAAGTGGTCTACATATTCCACCACTTAACTCCCTATCATTAAACTGAGGGCACTTGTAGCAGACCAGTACTGTAAGGTCATATTTCATTCGATAAGTGCGAGACATATGCTAGCCAAACATACTCAGATTTCTGCTCAATGCGTTCAGAAGACGTAGGATTGCATCAGCGTCTTTATCTAGCAGGATAATGTTATCGGCATACTCCAAGTTAACCAGATACCCCCCCCCTCCCCGGAGTAGGTTATTCCCAGTGAAGTCAGGCTTACCTAAGGTTACGCCCAGATTCTAAAGACTTAATGTCATTAAAAAAATGTTCATTTTTGTTTGCAGGTGAGGAGTACATAGTGTTGGCATGACAAGAAGTATTAACCACTAGAAGACTACCCTGGTTTACACTTCAAAAGCTAATAAATAAACAACTACACATACCAAGTTCAATACATATCTTCTTTGAAAATATCATGTAAGCACTTATGAGTGCTTAGAACTGCTCTGAGTTAAAAACGTGCGTCAATGAGTAGAAAGAGCAATAGTCTTTCAATTTCTGACAAAATATAACTACTGTATACACGTTTGGTTTACTGTTTTTCTTCGCAAACAAAATGAAACTTTCATCACAATACATATTATGACCCTATTATATCATGAAATTAAGATTAGCATAAATCTTCTACAAAAATATTACATATCGAAACTAACAAAATAACGAGTAACCAGAATACTATGGAGAAAACAAGATTTAAGTTATACGTTATCAGTTATTACAAAAAATACACCAAGATAATGTATAATTATTATCAGTGGAACTATATAGAATTTTGCCACCAACAAACAACTGTCAGATGACCTTGAAGTGACCAATCACATTGAAGATAACTTTGCAATCATTCCGGAAATTTTCGAATTATTGAAGGAATGTTGTTGGTGATACATAAGTTTATGCATAATTTTAATGATGATAATTCCGATCGAATCGCTTTTTGTTTGCTGCTTTATCGTCAAGTTTTGTACTTCAAAATCCGATACGCAGCTTCATGAACCTAATGTCTATTTTTAATTCTCCAACTCTGATTCCTAAATCTTTCCTACAGCGAGTTGATTATACTGATAATTCAGATGTGACGGGAAACCGCTTTGATTTGTATCCGCATCACAGTCCACGTGGCTTAATATTGAGGAGTCATGCGTAAGAATATTTTATATCATACATACTCTTACTATTAGCAGTAGGAAGCAGTCGAAAACCTAGATAAGTAATCCAACAAATGAAACTACACCTACTGGAATTTAATTTCTGCATTAAAACTTTCATAAAACAACCGTTCCTCTATTGGTGCGTTCAAGGTTATTTGATAGCCGTTCAAAGATAATATTCTATTGTTACAACCCACCTCGTTACAGGCGAACCAAATGTATCAAAATGATAAGTACGGAATTAAATAATATCCCATTATGTCAGCCAGTTCCATTCGTAAATATAAAGTCATACAGGCGTGCGTGAGTGCGTGCTGCTACCGTCAAACTTACAAGACAATATTGAAAGGGATCTTGTAAGAAAATGTCATTCATGTCAAGAAGAATGATGAATGTGAAATTGAATACGTAAAAGCATCATCTTCAAGAATTTTTAGAATACAGCATATCACACAATGTAACCGACACGGTACATGCCAAACTGAAGGTATGTGCCAAACTTTCGAAACAGAAGACAACTACTTTCTCAGAAGAAATTGATTCTTAATAATCGATGCCACCTATCTACTGTAGCAAAGAATTTATGCAACACAAAAGATCATATAGTCGTTAGTCAGATGGATCTTAAGAAATTCAATTTAACGAAACATCTGGAGACCGAAAACCCACAGTGCACTACGGGCTATGGCTCAGCATAAACCACTGAGGGAGATAACTTTCAACCAATGGGTCATGGATTCGAAGTCCGCTCCACCCAAGGAGGTTTGGACAGCCAGGTAGTATCACTAGCCCCTCCCCCCCTAGACAATGGGTGTGGCTTAATGCCTACTGCGCGAACGAGTACTAGGTTGATGAGTGCATAAGTAGTACGATTACTAATTCACTGCTTACTTTAATGAATGATGCCGCGTTTCCCAGCTGATTTTGTTGTTGTAATTGCTGTTGAGATAGAGGAATTTGTTGGAATGGAAACTGTGACAAATGATTGTTTGGAATTGTTTGTTGAATCGGTTGAACATTGAACAACGAGTTAACATGCGACGGCTGCGGTATATAATTATTTCCGGTTAAAAGAAATCCTTGCGCTGCATTATTCATAATAACTTCAGTAAGTTGATTAATCAGTGAGGCACGTTCCGAATTAGATAACATTTGAGATTGCTAAAGGAATATATTTTAAAAAAAAATTGTGGAAATCTTTGTAACAGTACTGAAAAATTAACTACAATAAAGCACTATGTATGCTATGCAACTAATGATCACAAGTATACAAGTAATATGAACTAAAAAGTTAGATAACACTGATCCTGTATCGAAATCAGCACACATACACATAAAGATGAGTTAAGCAAAAATAGGATACTCACATCAGTTTTCGAAAGATTGTCTGTTTCAGGTTGAACAAAACTGTCATCTATGGAAATAATTTCAAGAAGAAAAAAAAAACAGATAAGGTAATGAAGTATGAATTTAAAGTAACCCATGATCACTTCTGCAACATGGCAAAGAATATAAAAATATTAAAAGGCATAAATAATGATTGCTAAGATAATAGACAATAAGATATATACATACATATACATACAAATAGGTAAATGTGTGAAAAAAATGATCAGAGAAAACTAGTTATATCTGATTGATTTATTGAGAATAACTGTAGAACACATACCTAGACCGGAATACAAGTGTGGTGACACGAAAAAGTATATATAAAACCAAACATAAACCTCAAACTTTAGTGTTTCATCACTTGTCTCTGAGTGAACAATACTCAGTTTATATTGACAAATAATAAATCTGAGTGGTGGCAACATTTTTCTATTCAATTACTAGGAGATCCTCTCTCTCTCTGTCTTACATTTATTTGAACCTTCAGCTTAGATTACGATCGACAATGAATTAGCATGTGTAACACACCGCATTTTTATTGTAGTTCAAGGAAAATTGCTCATCTAACCAAAGTTACAATATATGAGGGTGTGAATCCAGCTGAAGAAACCCAATTGGATTACTAATCCATTCTTATCACCACCCGATAAAATGAGGTTTGTAGGCATAACTATGATTTGTTGAAGAGCGCCCAACACATCACACCTTTTATGGTGGCTCAGTTACTTCAAAAGAGGATAATTGGTAAAATGATAGGGTGAATATGGTAACATATATTGTCATATGATTTTCCGAGGGATTTCGAAGCAAAGATGATTAGTTTTTAACATTTTCTAGCCTATTGAATTATTTCCCTGTTAAAACTGTACAGTATAACTATTTCTTTCCTTCAACAATCATATCTGAAAGATGCATAGTGGAACAGAAAAAACTACTCTGTATTACTTCAGTATTTGATAAACGCAAAGAAAAAAAATCACCGGAAGCCCAGAGTAGGAAAGGATGAACTTCGGGAAATTGAGTTACAGAAATATCCCAGTTATTAAAATAAATACAAAAGAAAAAAATTGTTCTACAATTTGGAAGCGGATAAGATGAATATGCCTTACTGTATATCTCTCATACAGCTACAATCTACTACGTAAGGTGACCTTTGAAAAATTATGAAAAATGTCTCGTCGAAAAGCATCAAAACCAAATCAACAACCTTGTGCACATTCGTGAAGTGGGCAATGAGCAGCCTCATTTATTGTTTGAGGTGGCTAATGATACTACCTGACTGCACAAACCTCGGTAGGTGGAGAGGGCTTCGAACCCATGACCCATTGGTTGAAAACAACTCCCAGTGAACCTCGGTTAGATTAGGTCATTTTGAACTGTATAGTCAAATAGAGTTCAGCGCATAAATATTACGGAGACAAGCGGATAGTTTCCAACTTATGCATCACAATAAAAGACACATCTATATAGGATGGCAAAAATTAAACAGATAACAAGTAGCCTTAAAAGCTACATTTATAACATTCGGATATCAGAAACCTAAATGAAGACTTTTAATACCCCAGTCTATTCAACAGCATAAAAACAACAATCAAAGAAGTAGGATCTAGCCAGGGAAATGAGCGTTCGTTGCACTGTATGAAGAAGGTTGTCATATTTATAGAGCTGTAGCCCATTAATATAACCACTTGATTTTCAACCGAAGAATCACAGATTCGAGTTCAGTTCCACCTTTTGAGATCTAGGCAGTGAAGTGTGGCTCAATGCCTACTAAATGGACGTGCACAAGGTTGCTGAGTAGATTCCGATTTGATTGAGTTTATCATATATGCTCTGTTGAAAATTACAATCATAATTTCATATTAGATTTGTTTACTTTTAACATATATGTCGTAAGGTGATACAGTATTATCTACTGGATCACGTTTCGAGCACAAATCATTGCTCATAATCATATCAACGGTATGATATGATTATGAGAAGTAATCCGTGTGTGGCTGGCTATTTCAAATAAGCAAATCTAATATGGGATTACATCCTACTACAGTCCCCAAGTTTTGCACTTATACAATCATAATTGGTGAAAAGGTAAACTCGTATACATAATTTAGTCACACCAGCACATCACCAAGGTTAAATGTGATCAAAAACCACATTGTTAGCACAAAAGATGTATAGTTTCTTTGAAGAAATGCAGTCTGGCAGATAAATACATACATACTACTGTTGTTACACAATCCAAATGTTGAACAAACTGCAGAAGAAATCAGAATTAATAAGAAAAATTCATAATAATTCAACAGAAAAACTTATAGGTCGATAATTCAAAAAAAAAAAGGGGGAGAACAATATATCTATTGGATGCATATAGGCGAGGAAAATTTTAAAAGATGGAAAGCGAAACAAGAAACAAAAAAGTAAACAGTTATGCAACTTGGTAGCAGTAGTAGTAGTAAAGTACTAAAAGTCAAGTGATTAGAATTGAGTGACAAGAAAAAAGGCTGAAAAGGTTAAAAAGTAACAATAGTAATCAATGGATTGAAGTAAAACAAGGTCTGTTTTTCAATAGTCAAAGATAAAAACCAGGTTAACAACTACGAATAAATAGCACGTGCATAAAAGAAGGTATGTCAGGAAAGTGGAAAAAAAAAGAGGAGAAAGGAAACAAAAACAAAGTTTTTCAACAAAAGAAACAAACAATAAATTCTTTTGACTATCATACAAGGCAAAAATTGGTGTATTCTATTATATCAATGTAGTTACAAGTGGATTGCATCATAAGAAATACTACGAATCGCCTTTATTACACTCTATGTATTTACATATATGGAATAGCAGAATGTTCCGCAATCCAACAGATTGTCTTTAATCGACAACAATTTCAACACCCATTTAAAAGTATAAAGTATGAAAGAAGTAACCAGTGGACTAAAACGTTTCATCAACTTCTTGATGCTATTACCATAGATATTAGATGTTGGACACAATCTCCAGATGCTAATTTTACGAATTGTTGTGATAAGAGAAAACAGAAAAGGTGATGAAGGAGGATTAAAATATGCATATAACACACTTCCAATTGCTTCTTTTTTTTTCCTTTCTAATAAATGACTTTGCTTTCTCTAAGACTTTCTAGAAGACTTCTATTCCTTCAAAGATGTTCGAGGAGTTTTCTGTAATAGTTGATTGGGAATGTTTTCAGTAATTTTTGGCGTTTCATTAAGGATTTGTGAAGTAATATTATGTACATATCAAAACGTTAAGTTTGGTGAAATGTTTAAGTAATTGAAAAAGGAGTCTAAATTATAAGTCAGATTTGAATAGGCAAAACTGAAAAAGACACTACCATATAGTAACTAACCTTCGGAGTTTATCAAAAAGTTTTTTTTAAGACTCATAAAAAGAAAGGGAGAACAACAATATTAGTAGTAGTTACAAAATGCCTTGGAGAAAATTCGAATCTTCTGCAATGTTGCCGTAAAAAGAAGGGACCATCAAAAAATGTACATAGAATTCTTAACAATGATGGAACCGTGGTAGCCTTGAAATTCTCTCACTCACTGGCTAAGCTAATAGATCCAATGAACTCAGTCAAGCAAAACAACTCAATCAATCAAATGCCATCTAATGATTGTGACGTCAAGTACATGGGTCAAAGTACCCAATCGAGGTAAATCACGACATCAGAGAACAAAAATTTAGCAGAGTATAAAATGATAGACTCTACTAAGACTCATAATTTAGAGAGAAAACACTTGACTGTCGTCCTGCATGCATCGACTTATATTAACGCTGCAGGGTGGGGTAAGATGATAAGTTCTGCAATCCAATATAGTTGGGGTGAGGGATAGAGAATAATTCCAAAATTTTTGTTTACTAAACTAACACCGAATAAATATTTGGAAAAGTCTACTACCACTAAAAACAAGGGAATACGGATTTCTTAGCATGTGCAAAAGAAATTTGAAAGTTGAGTAATTACTCTGATATGATTATACACGTGCTCGAAATGTCATCCTTTAGTCAACAATACTGTATCACTGTGTTACACTAAATAGACAAATGAAAATGGGAAAAACATTTATAGATTTACAAACAGTCTAAGAATGCAATCTCCAACAACCAGTATTGTAATAGCTGACAACAGAATCAAGTATACAGTCGACGGAAATCATACAGCACCTTACAATTTTATTTAGTTCTTACACTTCAATATAACCAAATCAACCGGTTTCAAAGCATATCAATGAAATGCAATCGGTTACCTTGTACACATCCATGCAGTAGGCAACGAGCCACATCTATTGTGTGAGGGCTAGTGATACTACCTCGCTGAACAAACCTCGGTAGGTCGAGCGGGTTTCGAACCCGTGGCTTACAGGTTGACAGTCATTTTCCTAAACCACTAAGCCACAGCTTCACTAATACATATGAAACCACGTTTTTGAAAAACTAAACGTTTATCTGTTTTCATACTGGATGATGGTTGAAGGTGGGATGAGAATTTCGGTTGCGGCTGGATTCAGACCAGTGACCACTTAAATTACCGGTCCTTTGTTTTACCACCAACTGAGCAACGAAACCATAATGCTGATAATATCAGTCACCGAGGAGTTTTTCCATCCTATTACATCTAATGAGTTATAAAACAACAGCCCTTATCATTTCAAATTAATTCTGCTTCGCTCGATAACCATTCCATTCCCAAATAAACTAAAGTTCCATCTTGGGAATACAGTTTATCGTAATCTCATTTCATCATAACACATTCATTATTAATATAAACAAATGCATGAAAAATGAACATCTCCACCCTTTGATGTATCAAACTATGCAAAGTATATCCTACTGTGTATCGTATTTAATTTTGAAAAAAAAACAATGGCATATAACACGTAGATAACTATACAACAAGAGAGACAGGCAAAGAAATAGATAAAATGTACACAGATAAAAGTATCCGGTGAAACTGAATGAATAAATATACAGAGATGATTTAGCGATAAAACTAAGATATATTGAGATAAACTAGTTGAGACCAATAAAGAATACCTAACTAAGTTTAAGGTGAAACAACACAGTCGCACATGCAACTATTATTTCAGCTGTAGGTTTTCTCTTAAATTTCAAAACAATCCTTTACAATAAAGTATACCCAGTCGAGGGCATTTCGAAAACTTGTGTGTAAGCACATACTCAAACACTAACAAAAACACACATACACCGATAATATAGCAGCTTCACTCTTGAGCTCGAGTGACAGGAGAAAATCATGTGACGAAAAGAGAACCACCAGCAGCCTGCAGGACTGATCTGAAACCACTCACACCTTAATGATACACAGTGAAGTGGTGAAATGTGTTGACAACCTCACTCACTCACTCACCCCGGGACTTCAATTAGCGTGAACACAGTGGTTGCTGACAAAGTCTCACCATGTATACAAAAGGCCCAATTGACAGTTGCTGAATTCCGTCATCTGTGGTGCCAACTGGTGAGATATCCGATTTTCTATCAAAAAACGAGTAAACTGCACTGTAGTAGTACGCTGTGTTCTGTTGTACGGTTGTGAGTGAGACACAACCGTTAAAAGTAGACGATGTGAAACAGTTGCAGGCTTCTTTCTGTTCATAGGCATCTTCGTAGCATTGCACGTGTTTGGAGGAATCACTGTGTGAGCAATGTTGAGGTATAGAGAAGGATACTACACAAGACAGACAAGTCCGTCGATGAGGTTGTCAACCGTAGTCGATTCAGATGGACTGGACATGTGTATTCCGTATGCCGTGTCACTGCCTACTTCGAAGTGCCATAACTAGGAGAAGGTGGATTAGGTTGGAAGAGGGTTCATCATGGACAGATCAACATTGAGCACAAGACCATAAAGTTTCTCACTCCTAGTCTGAGTTGTGTAGAGACGCGTAGATTACTTGACGAGAGGATAGGAATGAGTGTTTGAGAAGTCCTGATGACACAGTTGGAAATCAGTCGAAATCGGGCAAATGTATTCACCTTTTGACCTCTTCGAAAACTTGAATATTTCCAATAAACATTATCTTCAATTTGTTTATTCTCTCACAGAACTTTATCTACTTTGATAACAGTCTTCTTGTATCCAGCTATTCTTTGTGTGGCAACTTGAAGGGATGCACTTGTGTGCAAGGTTCGACGTTGACTCCATCTGTATGTCTGCTCCCGCCCGCGTCGAAATAACTAACTAATATTCACTGAAGGGTATTTAAGCTACAGTATACCGGTATTAATCATACAAAGGTAGTCACAAACAACTTTTGACATTTAGTTTACATAAATCGAACTGTATTTGATTTGTTAGTTTCAATGTAAGGAAGATTAGGCAGTGAAAAATCAATCATTTTGCTAAGTGTCTATTCAACTATGTGAAACAGAGGCAGAGGTTTACTGCCAAATCTTTTCCCATCGTATCAATAATTTGACATGATTATAGGTGATAGATTGTGGGCAAATGCTTTCTAGTAAATAATATGGCATCAATGTGTTATCACCACATTAATTAAAAAAAACCCAATTAAGAACAAATAAACAATACCAGTTGATAGAAACATCAAAGGAGTATACCTTATTTTAAAAAGTTTAATACCTATAAAATTCCATAGCTGAAGCTTACTCTGAAGAGAAGAAGTATTCTGAGGAATAATTCCCAAACCGGAATTTATAGTTTGTAAAGTTGAAGGAATACTATCGTTCACATTGATTGTCCCAACTTGAGTCTGAAAGTGTTGGTTGTGTTGTTGTTGTTGTTGTTGTTGCATGACAGAAGGTTGTTGTAGTAACTGCTGCATAACTGTTGAATGACCTTCACTTGGAAGAGGCGTCACGAAACATGAATTGGCCACATGGCCTTGATTCACCCCTGCCTACAGAGTACAGGAGATAAACAATAAAAAAACATGTGGATGATAATGCAACAGCTTTTAGATACAACTATTTTTTTCTTTTTGATACCAAAAAACAAACATATGTAAAACATGGAAACGAAAAGTGACTATAATAATAAAGTTCTTCAACTGGTTAATACATCCATATCCGATAGCACATAATTCATGCAAGGTGATCACGTGCACAAGTAGAAAATAAGAAGAAAACATCAAGTCGATCAAAAACATCGAAAATATCATAAAAGAAAATGATGAAAGGGTTAAACTAATGTAAACTTTCGTGATTTACATGAATGGTGTTTATACGTGTATTTCTCTTGAAAAATTCGAGACAAGCACAACAATATATTAGTTAACCTAATAAATCACAATACCTTAAGTAACTAGAATTTTTAACACTATCAACCTAACCAACACACATTATATAAGCTATGCATTCAAAAGAATGTCACGTGTTCGTTATCAGGTAATTACTCAAAAGTTATGAATGAAACCAGTAGAATAGGGACTTGTAGTGTAAATCAGACAGAGACCGAAACACAAATCAACGTCAAACCATGAACACAAGTGCATCCCTTCAAGTTGCCACACAAAGAATAGCTGGATACAAGAAGACTGTTATCAAAGTAGATAAAGTTCTGTGAGAGAATAAACAAATTGAAGATAATGTTTATTGGAAATATTCAAGTTTTCGAAGAGGTCAAAAGGTGAATACATTTGCCCGATTTCGACTGATTTCCAACTGTGTCATCAAGACTTCTCAAACACTCATTCCTATCCTCTCGTCAAGTAATCTACGCGTCTCTACACAACTCAGACTAGGAGTGAGAAACTTTATGGTCTTGTGCTCAATGTTGATCTGTCCATGATGAACCCTCTTCCAACCTAATCCACCTTCTCCTAGTTATGGCACTTCGAAGTAGGCAGTGACACGGCATACGGAATACACATGTCCAGTCCATCTGAATCGACTACGGTTGACAACCTCATCGACGGACTTGTCTGTCTTGTGTAGTATCCTTCTCTATACCTCAACATTGCTCACACAGTGATTCCTCCAAACACGTGCAATGCTACGAAGATGCCTATGAACAGAAAGAAGCCTGCAACTGTTTCACATCGTCTACTTTTAACGGTTGTGTCTCACTCACAACCGTACAACAGAACACAGCGTACTACTACAGTGCAGTTTACTCGTTTTTTGATAGAAAATCGGATATCTCACCAGTTGGCACCACAGATGACGGAATTCAGCAACTGTCAATTGGGCCTTTTGTATACATGGTGAGACTTTGTCAGCAACCACTGTGTTCACGCTAATTGAAGTCCCGGGGTGAGTGAGTGAGTGAGGTTGTCAACACATTCCACCACTTCACTGTGTATCATTAAGGTGTGAGTGGTTTCAGATCAGTCCTGCAGCATCATCTTACATTTGACAAGCGTTGGTGAAATGCATGCTCATCGTGTTCAGAAGACCCTGCATTGCGGCAGAGTCTCTGGGTCAACAAGATGACTTCCATGTAATAGATCAATCTCTGTGAAGTGGGACGTACGTTAGGTTAGGCCCATTTTTACGTCTGTTATGATTTAAATAAGAACGGTGGTGATAGGCATTCCTGATGAACAACCTAGCTGTCGCGAATTTAGATGACAGCTCACTATAAGCTCTTGTATAGCTGCGTGAGTTTGAGCAGAGAGTTTTGATAGGCGTTATATACTTGCTCGGTACTCCCTTCACAGTTAGGCACTGCCACAACACCTCACGGTCGACAGATTCAAATGCCGTCTTCAGGTCAATAAATATGCCAAGTGTCGGCCATTGGGCGGTAGGTATGCCTGTATTAGAGAACCTGTCAGAGGGTGAAAATATGATCGGTCCATCCTCGACCAGCTCTGAAACCTGCCTGGTGTCGTCTCTAGTTTCGCTTTTTGAGCTCCAGTTAGGCGTCGGATAACTATGGGACGTAGGATCTTAGGCACAATATTAGTCAAACTAATTCCCCTAAAGTTATTACAAGAAGATTTCTGCCCCTTCTTATAGACTAAGATGATCAATGAAGTAAACCAGTCTGACGGCACTACCTCTGATTCCCATACACAACCTAGTAACTCCGTCACTTTAATCAGCGATTTCACACCTTCATCCTTGAACACTTCAGGTGACAAACTGTTAGGTCCTGCTGCTTTGCATCGTTTCAGGTTTGATACAGTTTTCTCAACTTCAAGGAGAGTTGGAGGACCAACACCTATGTCCCATTCAGGTCCACGCTGGATGTTGGTCAACTGAAACGTCGCTGAGAACCAGTTGAACTGTGTTTCAGCCCAACGTTTCAGTCATCTGAGGGGTTATCACAGTACTATCCTTTTCAGTGATGGCCTCACTCCCCATCGTCTTCATCTGGCCCGTACCCTTAATAAGCCTAAAGAATTACTGTTGCTTTCTCTCTCTCTCTCTTTCGCTTTCGCAAACCAGAGCAACAGACTAACCTGGTGATTGGAAAACTTCATTCTTGAAAGCTTCATGTCTATACAAAGTAGCATAAATGTCAGTCACATAGAAATTATTGCTATCACAAAGATTGCGACTTTAGAAATTTGCAACATTAACACTAATAAATATTTCAGTTTCTTTTAAGGTAAGGGATGAACACTAATAATGACAAAAGCATACTAACTTGATCTGAACTACATGGAGCTGTGTTGACGGGAAACCACCATACAAGCTGGTTGGACAGCTAAAACCCACAGAGTTCTGTTGGGGTAAATTACTTATCTGTGGTGACGGCATTGATGGTAGCTGACCACCTGTAGTTGTAGCCGCTGTCACCGCTTGTTCTGCAATGGCAGCTGCAGCCGCAAACATCATTTGTTGTTGCTGGTTTGCAGGAACTGGCTGGTTAGAACTAGGCATTCCGGCTGTCAACAAATTGGCTCCGGATGTAGCGACTGGCAAAGGCTGTTGGACTGTTTGCTGAAACACAAATCAACATTAACGTTGCATCAATAAGATACAATAGCTTTGCCGATGAAACTAGGATTTAGAAAACTTTATATATGTACATACATACATATATATGACTTACCATTTGAGAGCCCATGAATGCCTCAGATGATGGGATAGATGAATTGGCAAATGAAGTTGATGTAATCCCCTGAAGCACTTGTTGCAATATCATTGCAGAACGAGCTATTGTATCCATATTATTTGCTGTTAAAACATCAGCATCCGATTTTACCAAGGATGAATGCACCGGAGCAAAAGCAGTTGGCTGGCTTTGACAAGTATTTACCAGAGACGGCACGGACTGTTGTATAGGAAATTGGAATGATTGTTTCTGATTTAGTGTTTGCTGTGAAGATGCACCACTAGACGCTGAAACAGCAGATGACTGTGAACAGATGTATGTGGCATTACATGTAGTGTTGTGGTCAGAAACTGGTTGTCGAGATGCTGCCGAGTTTACATCGCTATGCAACGGAATGGGTACTGGATGCTGAACAGATGAACTACTAAGGGAAGTGGGAACAAAGATCTCTGTAACTTTTTGGCTTGTAGTAGCCTGGGGTGGTACTATAGGTGTTGAAGCTGGAGTTGGTGTTGGTGTTTGTCCATTATTCGACAATGATGGAAGAATATTTGGAGTGACTGGTGCGGCTGTAGCACTTGGAGGGATTGTAACAGTGAATTTACCAATAGATGTTAAACCAGGAGCAGCAACTTGGTGACAACTCTCTAGATTTGGGCAACTGGTATCAACGGATTCACAGCTTATTTTGTTTTGAGTGGCTACAGTCATCTGCCCAAGAATTACATTACCAGTTCCAGTAACAGGAGCATAGGTTGTATCTATCTGTGGCTGAGATATACCTCCTGAAACCAGGGGAGTAGCAGAGGCGATTGCTGACGTAGATGAAGTGGTAGCTGTTGCACTACATGTGATCGTTGAAGAACTCGCGGAAGAGTTTCTATATACCTGTATTTCTTTTTCCAACATTTTTTTGGCTCTGATCCACTTACTCTTATACTTTCCGATAATCGTGAAACTACTTGTATCATCTGTAGTTTGCAGGAAGAAGATTAACGAAAAGCGACAAACTTATTACATTATTTCACAACTCACTGGACAATCATCGAATAAAAATAATGATTACTTGTACAGCACTGGAAAACAAATAACAGCCATAACTGTTAAAACAACAAAATAGGCTAGAGGGAAAACTTGTAATCTTATACGCAGTTGTACTGCTTTGAGTACACCTGCAAGCAAGCAAAAGGGAAATACAACTAACAACAAGGCAGGGCTATATCGAAACGCACTCAGGTACCTTGTACACATCCATCTAGTAGCCAATGAGGAGTCGCACTTATTGTGTGAGGTGGTTAATGATACTACCTGGATACCCAAACCTCTGTAGGTGGGGCAGGGTTCGAACCTGTGACCCACTGGCTGACAGTCATCTCCCTAAACCACTAACCCGCAGTTCTAGCTACGTGGAGAAATATGACAGAAACACACAGTTGTGCCACGGTATGTCGACACCCCTAGTTTATAGCCCCTATATATCACAACAGTGGGATTAATCGTTTCTTCTGAAATTTCCTAAACCAACAAAGCTAGCTTACAACATAACACTGGGAAAATATCACTAACGACAACCAAACAAAACAGGATGTTAGTGAATACAAATGTGCAGTTATGAATCTACTTGGGTTAGTGAAACAAAAGAAAAAACTTAGAATTTCAGGATAACACCTTTGCTCTGATTCACCATTTCTTCAATGCTTTGGTTTATTGACTAAAACATTTTAACTTTAACCAATAGATCACGTTTAAGAGTGATGCCCCTTTCATCAAGTTGTTCTGGGTCGAATCATTATTTATCTAATGTTGAACGATGGTTTTCCCAGTATTTCTTTTATCTTTAATTTTTTTAAATGTGGAAAAAAAACTACCAATTTTAGCTTCAGACATAAAAACACGACTATAATCTATCTTAGTTTGTATATTTTACCGATCTCGAGAAAAAATCTTCCACTTATCTTGTTATGTAAGGTGGTCACAAGTTTCTGATGTATCCCAATACCTTGCTTTGTGTTCGATCAATTTCTGCGTTTTGTCTATCCTTCTATTTACTTTTCCCTAGACTATTAAAAAAAGATCATGCCACATTGCGTCGGACTGTCAGCAGAACCAGTAGTGTATCCTTAACTCATCCTATGGACACTGCTGTGGACAGACATCTTAATTCACCCAAACAACTAGCAGATGATGAGCAATTTATATTGAATTGTTTATTTGATACAGCGCACAGTATTATACTATTTATTTACTGGATGACGTTTCCAGCTGGCTGTCCAAATCTCGGTAGGTAGAATGGTGTTCGAACCTGTGACCAAATGGTTGAAAGTCAACTCCCCTAACCAATGAGCCACAATTCCACCATTCTATATAAAGAATAAAGTGTTCAAAACGACCTTATCAACCAAATTTGTCATGGTTAGCGAGTTGATCATTATCTTGCCTTTCATCTGTGTTGAAAATCTAACGGCAATCACTACTTTCAATTCGGTATCCATCATCGACTGATATTCGTTAGAGAACCACTGAATACCTGGAACGACTAAAAAGCCGTTTCAGCCTAGAATGGGACTCTTCAGAAGCGCGCACCCACGACCCTACCAGGGATCGAACCCAGGATCTTCAGGCTTTATGGCAAGTACATTTTCATTGAGCTACCGCGTTGAAATCCAATGGGTCACTGTCTTCCACTTCTTTCTTTCGAAAAGTTATACATGGAGTAAACTACTTTCGTTTATTATTCGGCTTTTCGCTGTGCTGATACAGTGCAACACGCCCGATATTCTGTACAGTCAAAATGTCAAAATATTGTTTAGAATAAATCTGATATTATCATTAAATGAAAAGGATAACACATTTAATTACCTACTTGAGATCTCGTCTAATTTACGTAACTGCTTTCTCTCTAAAACACCGTTAGGTTAAACTAGCTTAATTCAAGTGAGTATTCATCGTAGACTGACATCAGTTAGAGAAACAATGGAAACCTGGAAGCACTGGACAGCTGTTTCATCCTAGTATGGGACCCTTCAGCAGTGCGCACCCACGATCCCACCAGGGATCGAACCTGCGGCCTTCAGGTCCCGTGGCCAGCACGTTACCACTGAACCACTGGGTGGGAACCCAATGGCCCATATTTCCAACCTGCCAGTTCACGACATAGCGCGACCGCCATCCAATGTCATCGTTGAGCATTTGTCCTCACCACCATCAGGTTTTCCCCACTGGTCACGACTTCTCACTAGAACTTCAGAAATCACCTCTCCAAGCCAGTCACCAATGTGCACCAGTTCAACTGAATGTTGAGGGGTTTGTGGGGATTTATAGATATTTCAAGTTGGTATTCATCGTAGACTGACATCAGTTGGAGGAACAATGGAGCACTGGACAGCCATTTCATCCCAGTATGGGACTCTTCAGTCTACAATGAATACCAACTTGAAATATCTCTAAATCTTCACAAACCCCACAAAACTCGATTAAACTAGTTAAGTCATTCATTGGGGGGGGGGGGGGGGGGGGGGAAATTAACCACCAATTAATTTTATAAAATAGTAACGACTTGCCACTTTATTTCCAATCCATTTCTAAACGAAACACATAGGCTTTAAATCTTAAGTCAAGCATAGTGCGTTGGACTTCTAACTGTCCATGTCAGTAAACAAATACTAATAAAAGTAGAAACAGGGGGGGGAAGGGGGACAAAAAACTCCAGGTAATCACTCACATGCATCTGTATCACTCTCATCATCTTCATCAATAGCAGAAGTACCTTCTTGCTTTTTTCGAGTACGCTGATCCTGGACTAATGAATCTAAGATCGCCTTCCAGCGTTTACCCAACAAAACTTTGACAAGAAACTGCATCTGCAGTCTTATACTGCTGAAAAGTTTGTCTAAGTGATTGGAGACAATTTTCTTATCAGGTTGTTTAGGATTTTCAAATACACGCCATAATTTATCCTCGTATCCAAGTCTCTGAATTGAAAAAAGGAATTAGATGCATAACTAGCATTACATAGGATGAGTTAAGTGATAAAAATGCCACATCCATCATATTTTTGATGTGATGTTATGCAATTTATTTCAAACTATATCTATCCTAAAAAATACAAACGGAACTAGAAGAAAGCGAAATATGACCATAAGGAATGTAATGCTAAGAAAGATAATAAGGGGGGAGGGGGAATAGTAAGTTTTGAAACCAACCTCGGAAAGAGAATAAGTTAAGTGTTACCAGAGTAAATTCAGTGTAAGGATGATTCGCTTTTGAACACACCAAATGGAAAGATTTGAGTTAGACAACTTGACTAACATGATCAAATGAACCAGTTTTGGTAGCGATAAATAAAACAAGAGAATGCGACTACACCGTCACACATTATCTCGCATTCTAGGCTGACACACATTGTATGAGAGCCAAAAATATGACTAAATCTGGAATAGGTGGAGTGAAGTACAAACTCATGAAGCATTGATTAAAAGGCTAGTGTGTAAACCAATGAGTCACAGTTCCTCACTGCATATTAGCACAAACAGAATGTATGTTTACCCTTTGCGAACGTGTAACACGAAGTAAATAGCACATGATAACTGTTTCTTTCAAAGGAATTCTCACCTATGGTGCAGTCATTACGATGAGGATGCTGAAGTTGAAATTTTGAAACAGAATGAAGCGGTATAACAAATAAAAAATCACGTTAGAATGAATCATGCCAAGAATACACCGGAAAACATTGTTTTACATGTCAGAACACTCCGAGTACAGTAGCTCGACTACTGTTAAATGTAATTCAATTACTCTAGAGTTCACCAATTCAGAAACTAGAAATTACAATTAATAATCGTGGATAATGATAGTAGCTTTATCACGTCTTAGTGATGTGACTTTTGATATATAAACACTTTTAGACTAGTGAGGAAGTCATGCACAAATGTCACAGTTGCGTATTGTGCTGATAGATAGATGAGTTAGGTCACATGATCAGTGACCTGATTAAAAAAAAAATATATCACTCGATGAAAGAAGATATGTGAAATGTGTTGCAAACAGATACTGTTCAAAGGTTATGATGCAGTGAAGAAATATGTCGAAGTAATAGAAAATATTCTGTACTGTTCCAGAAACCGACTATGTAAGTGCAAATTGAACTTTAAAGGGGATTTAAAAATGAAAGATTATCATACAAAAAAATATAACAACACTAGGAAGATATAGAGCGATGGGAAGTAGATAAGGAATAAAGAAAAATACAACATGAATAGGGTAATGAGAAAAGGCAGCCCAATAAGATACATTCAAGAGAAAACATTCATCAGTTTTCAGCAGCAGAAGATCGGAGGAAGCTTCAGCATGACCACTACTGGCTTCGATTCTGAGCCATATCTGATAACATCTTAAGCCAGTGAGTTGAGTGATCCCTCGGACACTACTCACAGGGTCGTGATGCTCCAAATGATGCTAACCTGACACAATTATCCTTCATCCTACGGTGCCACATCATACACTGACCACCTCTCCGCTTCTCCCATCCACTTCCAGGGCTACCAAAAAATAAACGGTATGAAAGCCGTTGGGACGACACGCGTAACACGTGCCCACGCCACCGAAGCCAGTGTTTCCAGATGACTTTACTTATTGAATGACAATCTGCTTCATGCTCAAACACACGCTGTCGTATCTTGGAATCACTTACATGGTGTTGTCCTACGGAGACAACGATGAACGAACACATAGACTAATCGCACATCCTCAGCTCCAAGAGGCCAGATTTCACAGGTGTAGAGCAGAACTGCTCACATCGAAGCGTTGTAAATCCGACCTTTTACGATCAGACTAAGGTGGCGACGGCGCTAAAGATGGCCCACATTTAACGTAGGCCACTCTGGCTTTTTGATATACCATTAATAAGGCTATCAATGGTTAGATCCGAAAAATCACTTCTGTGCATACAATGACGAATGTGTACTCATGAAACACTACACCATTCACAATTCAGTAGGCAAGGCAATCAATAAATAATCGGTTTCCTAAGAGTGAACTAACGAGAATGCAATCAAGTCATTTATGTTTTGACGAAGAAATTAACTCATACAACTAACTGGATTAATAAACGTTACAATCAGCAAAAACATGACAATACGCAAAATAGGCTGCACAAAGTCGAGTACCAAAAACACTGTACAATCTCTACATGATCCCTAAAATACAAGTGAAATAATATGCCCTAAGTCATACGTAAAAACTTAGGCAAATACCATAATAAACAAAACAGTCCTTCAATTGAATGGGTAAGAATGATAGTGACATTGTTTATCTCTCAAGAAATCTACGAAAACGCTAACAAACTGATCAAGCAGTACAAGTGTGAATGAATACGGTCCTGGGTAATGGTGCTGCTGAAACGGGCTGATGCAAGAAAACATAAATTTTCCTCAAAGCAGAATATTACGCTAGTAAGCGATTAACTTACAAATGGTATTCAGACGCTATTTCTGAATCCATCACGACCAATTCTTACTGAGAATGACATAGGTTCTAATAAGAGACTGAACTTTCTGTTACGTGATACACGATTGAACAATGAATGGCGTCGCTTAATTATAACACAGTTCAAAAGTCTCTCATACTCAATAAACTAAATAAAATATTTTTTCAATAGATTTGTGGAGTTATGATTCAATGGTCCAAACTCTTGGCTTTCCATTCATGATTCATGACTTAAAATTCTAATTCACTTATTGGGAACTGGCATATAAGTAAAATCTTTAGATAACCCATTGTAGGTGTGTACAGATATAGCAGCCGGCCTCCCAGCTGTGAAACATGGCCATTGAAAGTGGAAGATATGAGAAGGCTTCAAGTGTTTGACCACCGTCGCCTTCGTAGTATAGGCCGTATTCTGTGGTGCCACCACGTGAGCAATGCAGAAGTCAGGTATAGAGTTTTAGGGAATAGAGGTGAATCAGTTGACGAGGTTATGAACCTTTATCGACTGGTTGGGACACGTATTATGTATGCCTAGTCACCGACTGCCTCGTCACACAATGTTGGCTGAGATAGGTCCAGGCTGGAAAAAGGTCAGAGGTGGTCAGACTAAAACATGGCAACAAGGTATGAAGTCTCTGACTGTTGGTTTAAGCCATGTAGGACGATGCAGACTAGGTGGTTGGGGTCCACGGAACAAGAGGAACCAGTGGTTGGAGACTCTAGGGGATATGACTCAGAACCTATATCAGTGGCACAAATGTATACACACATTATCCTCTTTCCTTTCTTCTCGTACTTTATATTTCTTTTGACTGCATTCTCTTATCTTCATCCTTCACCTCACTACCTTTTTACTTGATGTACTGATATGAGGTGTGGTCACTCGGACCGTAAGGCAGTAATGCCTGGTCCTATGTTGATACTGATGATGATGATGACGACAGATATAGCAGTAGAGAGTCAGAGCGAGAGAATAATCAAAAGCAAACGGTATTTTTCTATTTAAAAAAATTCACACCAGTGTCGGACAAGTGAGGTGAATTCATGAAAACAATCAATTCACAGTATAATACAAATGAAAAAGTCACCATTAGTATGCATAGACATGATAGATTATATCATCCTGTATGTATTAATCTTATGAAGTAAATTGAATTATCTTGAAAATGACCTGAACACTAATCTGAACGAATAACTTTTAGTCTGAATGTAACCTAGGCTAATTGGCAATCGTTTGTATATACAAAGGTGTAATCATACACAAAGAATTCTAATATGAAAAATGAAAGTATGGTGAATAAACAGCATTACGAAAGAAATGTATTTCAGCCACCTTGTATAGGTTTTATCAAGCAGGAATGTTGTCATGAAAACTAGACTATAAAAAACTTATGAAGAAATCTAGGACATTATCAGCTTTATGACAATTATTCTCATATATATCTTCATTGGAATAAATTTTTAAAATTATGAACAGATAGATATTACCTACCAAATTATGAATCAAATCAGGAATATCCTGATCCTCAGCTTTATATATGTCTAAATCGAATTCTAATGATTCACCATCATCCAATCCTAATTCTTGTAACATCTTTTTGTCTCGAAATCTTAATCGTAAGTTGAAATTCGGGTTACGTGTTTCTGGATTTCCAAGTGATCGAACAAAACGATCCAGCACTTCTGCACGATCTGTTGCATTATCATAATTTGGTTCTACTTCTACTGGTAAGGTTTTCGGCTGAAAAAAAAAACATATAGGCAAAATGAAACTATTACTTCCAGTTATTTGTAGTAATAGGAATGAATCAAGTTTATAGTCCATCATCAAAAGTAGTAGACACTGGAGAAAATTTATGGAGATGAAAGATTTACCATACACTTGTGAGGTGTGTATCTGCAACGTCAATATAAAATTGGAAAAAAACTGTAGTGGAAGGGAATAAAACAGAAACAGGTTTTATCGACACCTCAATGAGTAAAAAAAACAACCTAATAAATTGTCTCAGCAACCAAGTAACGAGTCATACCTCCTATTGTGTGAGAGCTAATGATAGTGTCTGGCTGCCCAAACCCCGAAGGGTGGGGCGGGGTTGGAACTCGTGGCATAAGCTACAGAGGCACAACTCCAGAAATCGATAGGCTATTCGAAATTGTGGCGATTAATTGATCACTGAAGTTTATACACCGGTACTTACGTCCCAATAGAAATATCGCATAAAGGTATGAATTCAAACACAAGGATGATATGAAGTTGTCAGTTAATATGGTTGTAAATTGAGTTGAATACGTCAACTAACCGCTTATCTCCATAATCAAACATGTGGAGTAAAGTTCATCATGACACTATTCAACCATTGAGGTTTTGGCAGAACAATGCAAATCAACTCAGCTCTAGCTTTTGGCCTTTTATTGAACTGTTCGTATAATAAGGTAGCTTGGAGCTATTTAGAAAGCCCCGACTGTAAGTGAAAACCTCGAACTCCAAAAAAAAGTTGAGAACAACTCAGAAACCATATGCACGTTTGTGCAGTAGACAGTGAGCAACACTTAATATGTGAGGGCTAATGATAACACACGTCAGCAGTGCAATTGTGGCTCATAGGTTTAGGGAGTTGACTTTCAACCAACAGGTCAATGGTTCGACCACTCCTCCACCTGCCTAGGTTTGGGCAGCCAGTTAGTAGTAGAACTAGCCCTCATACACTAGGTGTGGCTCATTGTTTACTGCATGAATGTGCAGGAGGTAACTTAGTGATGTGAACTGAACGCCTCAGTAAATGGAGCCGGGTTCGAACCTGTAAACCCAGATTCACCTTTTCACTTATGCATCGCTAATATGCATGCAACTAATCACTCAGCAACACCATGCTACACACAGACAATATATATTCCACAAATCGTTTGGTGAATTTCAGTACTGCAACTTGAAATTCTAACGGAATAGTTAATTAGTAACATGACAGTTCAGCAAAGCAGAGGGTAAAAATATACACAACTACCAACAACTAATGATCATCTTGCTGCAGAATTAAGCTTTGTCCATTGTTGTCTCATTTTTTGTAAATTTTGTAAGCGAAAACGAGGATCATTAAAGAGTCTGTCGTATCGTAGAAAGATATACATACTTCTTTCACAAACTTTTCAGTCTAAATGGAATAGATCTGAATACTGCCTACTTCGAACATCTTTGGGAAACTTAAGTTTCCTTCATAAATAAAAACATTCTATGTACGAAATATCCACTCCTCTTTCCCAAAAAAGGTATAGCTGCTGAAAATATTGGAGGTAGCCGTAGTTTCACAGACTAGTATTTATACTGGGTGATGATTGAAGGGGAAATGAAAATTTGGACAGCGACCGGATTCGAACCAGCCACCACCAGGATTCCGGCCCGATGCTTCACTAACTGAACTACGAGATCCAGTTGATAGAGTATCGGGTCGGACAACTCGGTAGTGGCTGGTTCGAATCCGGCTGCGGTCCAAATTTTCACTTTACCAATGATCAAGTATATATACATATCACCATTGCTTTCGCAGTCCGAATGTATCGACACTACTTCTGCGTTAAAAAAAATGAGTACAAAAATCAACGACATACTTGTCTAAAAAGAGAACAGAATCAAGGTGGTTTAATGTGTAAACTTGGAGATATAATCAAGTCATTTATTTCATTAGAAAAACTGTAAATACATTTCCCTAAAACTAGGCACAAGACACTAAGACATTAAACACATGCTCTCATCTAGGATGAACTAAAAAAGTCAATTCTAGATAAAACAGACACGCTAATATCATATGAAATAAGTTAACTTTCGACAAAAAACAACAGATTACACCATAAGGTCAGTTAATCAGAATCGCATACACGTGACTTCCATTACAAAAAACTTGACTCTTTTCTCTTACAATCATTTAGGCTAAATCTGTTACTGGATAACTGGATGAAAAACTGTTATAACTCGAAGGTGTAAGCGAAATAAATGATACAGTTAAGTGGTTGGAGGAGATCGACAGAAAGTTATGGACCTAGCTTTCATGTATGATGGCAATCATCAACAAGACGTATGCCCAACATCCAGGGAGATGATATTCCCTCATGGATTCAAACTTATGCCACAGTTAGAGAAAGGATACATTTGAAACCATTAGGCATTTCTGAGTTGATGTTGAAGGAAACACAAAATTGAACTAATTATTTAAATATATTACACAGTATGTGTGAATTTGTACACATAAATAAACCCATAAAACAATATTTGACATTTCTGCTGTGAGTTATAGTGCTTAGCAATCAAAAAGCAATGAAAGTGATACATACATGCAATACAGTAAGCAAGCGAAGAAATAAACATATACTAAACTGTGAGAGTGCTGTAAAACCCCAGTTTTGCATAAAATATTGTTTATTAATCCAAACATCCCTTTTTAAATTATCGTTTTCATGCCATTTGTTACGGCATGGCCAGTCGTTCATTTTCAGCCCCCATTTTCAACGTAATTTGCTGATTGGCTAATACTTACATTTACTATATTAACGCTTCAATTTCTAGACAAGGTCATATCTCATGTGTATGCACATACACGTGAGTTTGGGTTGGTTGATTATTATTGTCGGAGAAACGAACTCTCCCATCCAGCTCAGTCTTCTTTATTCGTCCCCGGGTGGGAGTCGGTGGGTCTTGTGTATGAAGTTAGCTGTTAGTTAAGCGTACGTATTATATTCGATCGGAATATATAACAGAAGTAGGTAAAATCAAAAAGTCACAAAACAGTGCAATATATATATATATATATATATATATATGTGTTGTCATACACCTCAACAGAACGCACACACAGGAAGACGGACAGACAGACAGACAAAACCAATGTAGAACCTTGCACACAAGTGTACTGGAACAAGTTACCACACTTCATAGTACACAAAGAACAGGTGAATAGAAAAAGAGTGATGTTAAAGTAGATAAAAGTGTGAGGGTATAAACAATCTGAAGATGACAGTTAATGCAAATATTCAAGCTTTAGATGTCAAGGTGTGAATACGTCTGCATCATTAAGACCAACTTTCAGCCATGTCACCAAGAGGCCATAGCTACTGATTCCTTTCGTCTCGGGAACCTCAACCAGGTAGTCTACGTTTCCCCACGTGACTCAGACCAATAGTCAGAGACTTCACCGAAAGTGCCACGTCTTGGTTTAGCCACCCTGAACCCACTTCCAACCTAATCCAACTCCCCTTAGCATGACATGTCGAGGTAGGCAGTGCTTCGCCATGTGCAGTACATGTTTAAGCCATCTCAGTCGAGCAAGGTTAAATACCTTATCAACCGAATTCCGTTCCTTGCCTAGTACCTTTCGCCTGATCTCAAGATTGATCACAAGGTGATTTCACCATCTGTGATCAAAACCCTGTAATCGCTTTATAGAAAGAGGAGGAGGAGGAGGATAAACAAGAATAAAATGACAAGAGAAGACAAAATAAAAACGGCCATGGAAAACAGATAAAATGTACAGGCAGTAGAGGTACAGTAGTCACTATAGTTATTCTTCAACTAAATCGAAGAGGATTTTTAACTGCCAATTTTAATCATCGTTTGAAGTAAACGCGTGATAGTTAAAACCCGTTTATGTGCTTCACAGAACAGTCTTTGAAATCATATACAGGAGCCAAATCTAAGTTTCACATATACGGATTTTTCCAACCCTACACTCCTAGCTTAACACCGACGTTGCAGGTTACAATGAAAGGTGATACACGTTCATGAGACACGGTTCACCAATTACCGGCTATTGAACTTATCGACTGACTTTCCTAACTTTATACCTTAACATTGCTTTTAAGTGTTCATACTATATGCAAACTATGAATAGTTGGATAACGCTTGAAAATCTTCCATTCTTAACTGCTATGCCCTCAGGTGTAGAGTAGACGAAGTCAGAAATGTTATTCGGTGTACTCAATCTATGGAAAACATTTACATTTCGTCTGGGTCACAGACAACATGGAAAAATCGATAAAGCAACCTGAACACCACACAGAGGTTTCTGTACTAAACAATGAGCTACAATAGTTATTGTGTGAGGGTTGTGATACTGATTGGAAACCAAGTGACTCATCTAGTGAGCCAAAGGATCTAGATAAACTCAAACTGACCCTTTGTATCCGCGACAAGATGCCGTTTTTTAGATCCAGAGCAGTTGTCCAAGTAAGCAAACAATCTATTACGCTCAGGAAATTTATCCCCTACTATCAAACTGGATGCCGGAAAGATTGGTCTTAGACTACCAGTTTACGTTCAACAGATACAAAATGGTTTCACATTCTTAAAAAAGGTGTTTAGATGACTTCACATTTGACTTAGGTTTTCCCTTGAAGGCATTAAATTCTTCGTAAATTATCATTTGGTCAGAGGATTTTCAGCTAGAAAATTAATCCACGAGATTTCATCTCCAAGGAATGATGATGATGATGATGATGACCCACTATCAAATCTGAAAGTCTATGGACTCAGAGTTTTTCGTCTCCGAAATCTTGTTAAGCGTCAAACATCAGTGTATTCAGAATTTGTAAAAACTTTGACAGTTTATTCAGTTCCATTGTAGTTATCAAACGAGTAGCTAGATTTCTTCTAAAAAGCGGTTGTGTTAAGTGTATTAAAATTATCACCAGTTTTACACCTTGAACAATCAGAATTAGGTACTAGATGTGATGATTTCGTGGCAGGCCTATCCATATACTCCTCAGCTACAGCCTTATCACAACAATAAGCTGAGGGGTAATCATTTATTTTATCTCGATCTAGAGGTTTGTGGGATTTATTGATTCCAGGTTCATATCCACCACGAAATGATATCAGTTGGAGAAACATAGGAAATCTGGAAGCACTGGACAGCTGTTTTGTCCTATTATCGGACTTCTCAGCAGTGCGTACCCATGACCCCACTAGAGGTCGAACCCAGGACCCTCGGTTTCTGTGGTCGCAGACGTGCACTGCTGAGGGGTCATGTACTAGAACGAAACAATCATTTTGTTTGCTTTTAATTTGACTGCAAAGAGAATAACCAGTCCCAAAAGGGTTAGAACAATGACATATAAACACATAAGAGTGAAGATTAGCCATGAATTATTAGTTTTAATCTTTACAATGAAAAAGAAGGCATAAAACGCTTTTTGATGGATAAAAACCACATCAACAGTATTTTAAGCGCGAAAAGTGAACCCAAATGATATTTTTTTAAACTGAACTGTTGATCGAATAACAACTAGTTCAAACACTTTATCTAACAATAATCACAAAACTTGTTATACAAGGCATGGAAGAAAATATACCTACCCATGAATCGTTGCCATCTTGATATTTCTAGTTTTTAAAAAATAGTAGACGAATGCACAAACACAAACTATTAAAATATCTATAAACTATGCTAAGCGAAATGAAATTGAGTTATGCTCATTCAGCATAAAATACATTCTAATTTGGAGGTTTTCAGAGGTTTATTTTTTGATTTCAGGTTGGCATTTATCATGAACTGAGATTAGTTGGATAAACAGTGGAAACCTGCGAGTACTTGACACTGTTTTGTCCGAGTATGGGACTTCTTATAACCCGCACGACCCTGCCATGGATCGAACCCTCGACCTTCAGGTCCCTACTGCATTTGAGACAATTGGTGCCCGAACTTTGGTGTGTAAGAAACGAATCTTTGCAGACCTATAACTTACTCAAGTGTCAACCATTCAACTAAATTGAACTCAAAAAAAGTCGAAATTCACTGAGCAACCTAGTGCGTATTCGTGCAGTAGACAATGAGCCACATTTAATGATACTACCTGGCTGCCCAAACATCGGTGGTAGGTGGGGAGAGGTCTAAATCCATGACCCACTGAACTCAGTGGTGATTCCATCATAATAATCTGCTGTATTCTATGTAATCAACGATGAGTGATTTTTCAAAATAAATTCTCTGATTTTTCTTTCGTCATCAGCATATTGCAGTGTAATGTGATGTATTCTTTCACAAATGGAACATACAGAAGGAAATGGAGGATAAATAGAAACTCCTTTTAAATCTAGAATTCTAAACCACCAAAGACTGTTTGAAGTACATGAATGTACCTCACAAAAATTCACCTTAATTATGCCGTCTACACAAAAGTAATAACATTAAGTTTTAGTGGTAATGGCTTGACCAACCGTTAACAGTCATTTAATATGTCTTCAATACTAAGTAGTCGCAATAATATATGCATATATATGTGGTGCTCACCTGAAATAACGGATGGAAGTATAACTCATCAGCTGTAGGACGAAAACATGTCAGAGGTTGTATACATGCACTTATCACCTCATGTAGAGAAGGATTGGATACCATTTGCATGATATCAGGACCTTGTCCAGACATTGTTTTAGCTGCCACTTGTAAAACTGTTTCACATTCATCGTATGGCGTACGATTCGTCATTACTTCTAGCATAAGCATACCAAAAGCATAGATATCCACTTTCTCATCATACTTTTCATCAAAAATCTCCGGTGCCATAAAACCAAGAGTACCTAAAAGGTATATGTAGATATATAGGCATGTTAAGAAGCATAACTAAGAAGTAGATATGCGAAGTATATCGTGACAGCATGCACGATTTTCATTACAATTCGTCATGCCATTAATTTTCTGCATTCTTAGTTTATAACGCTAACTAGATTCCATAGGAGATAGTTGAATTCAATCGTAATCAGGAATAAAATTTGAAATTTCTGGAAGACATGTAACTGTTATGAACAAATGCTCTTCTTAGATGAACTTGTTTCTCCTTAAAAGTATGCCTTCGCGATACAAACCATTCCAACAAACAGCCTAAGAACTACCCTCGTCTTATATATATATATATATATATATATATATATATATATATATATATATATATATATATATATATATATATATATATCAGCAATAAAGGTTAAAGCAAATAGTTCTGTCAGCACTAAGTGCCACATTTAAACGGTGAAGAAACCAGCCCCAATCATATGTTTACAGCAATTACTAAGTAGTTTAAACAATATTTTAACTGAAATAGGTCATTAGGAGAAAGTTACTGTGTCATTATAACAAATTACCAACTTTTAAACATTAATGAGGACTATGTAGTGAAAATTTCTACTTGTTACAACAGACCAAAGAAATGAGAACAGGGATCTCGGGCCAGAAATCTTCAGTCGTACCTATATTATGTATTTTAAAAGACATTTTACTTAGCACTTGCTCAATAGTATTGCTGTGTAGCTCAGCTCAGCAGCCTTGTATCGACCTCTAAACCTGTTTGTGTCAACTGTTGTGCACTATTCCGTTTCTTAAGCGTAAAATGGGCGACTTCATTTTATGAAGTATGCGGGTGTCGTGGACATATGACTGAGACGTACAGGTGCATGATTCACACAACAAAACAACACAAGGATAGTGAGTACCGGTGTCTTTTATTGAACAAAAGTAGGGGAAGAAAGACTTCTGATTAAAGGGTTTTAAATACAACTTGCCCTTTAGTGCAGTTCATTTGGTGACGCATAGGCGTTGAGAAAGCGATATTCAGATAGTGAGACATTGATAAAGTTAAGACCACATGATAGTATCAGAGTTACATCATACAATTATCAGTTCAAGCATATGATTCAAGTTGTCAGCTTACTGGGTAGTAATTTCCCATGTCAATATAGACATATGACTATGCATTACTGCGCAACGGTCTAAATTCCTAAATCTCATATTAACACACCAAGCAACAAAGCAATAGGAGAGAGGAAAATCGGCCAAAAGCGGTAGAAACCAGTCCGATCAGCGTAGCCTACTTCGTCACTGTAACATGAAAGCTCAACCACTACATCGAGATAACAGCTATTGGTCGATTCAATACACTTCGAAAAAGTATTGGTAATTAACTATTATTACTGGAATATAAGGTGAAAAAAGATTATAGAAACACTCATCTCTATAAAGCAAAATTAATATGCCAAAAAAATTCCGTGAACCTATTTCTTACCCAACATGGTTTTTCTTCCACTATTACTCACATGAGTAGCCAAACCAAAATCCCCAACTTTAACATTTAAATACTCTTCATCTGAAGCACCATACAAAAAGCAGTTATCGGCTTTTAAATCTCTGTGCAGAATAGGTGGTTGGATTTTGTGGTGCATATAACGCAAAGCATCCAGGATTTGATGCCACCAACGTGTAATAAGAGGGAATTTAAGGATGCACTGGCCATCTAAGAAGTTCTTGCGGATAACACTAGCATAAAGTTTAGGATAAGTTTATTAAACTTCACTTTTATACCTTTTTAAAGTCCCTTCGCCCATTAGTTCTTGAATAATCACGACCCCTTTCTCTTCAATCTGATTATTTGGATCTTCCATATCAATCCACTCCCTGAAAACATCAAAACAGCGAACGACATGAGGATGGTTCATTTTTAACATAATTTCCGTCTCTCTAAACATTGCTTGGCGCTTTTCTTTAGTATCTACATGTTCGCGCTACGAAGTAAGAGAAGCTATTAAAAAGATTTTACCTTGAACTCACACCATGCAACATTTCTTGCCTCCACACTATCGTATCCACGGTATACGAATTTATAGCCCCCTTCACCAATCTATCGGAAATCTTAATAAATCAAAATCAAAAATACCTTTAAATTATGTTTTATCCATCGGCCGCATTTGGATTTCGCTGATATTTTTTGTTTGGCTTCCTGCTCTGCTTGATACTTCTTCAACATTTCCTCCTCTTTCTTTTTCTCGCGCTCCTTTTTGCGTTCCTCCTTTGTCTTTTTGCGATCAATCAAAGCTGCAGATGCTTGCGGGTCAGCTGATTGACCACAACTAGCAGTGCCGACTGATTCACTAAGCACAGGAATACTTGAGGTATTTGGATGTGATAGTGAATCTTCGTCATCAGAATCGGCTTCAACATTTAGCTTAGGATCAACAATTTTAACTTTTTTTGTGGTTGATCGTGAACCAATTTCTCTTCGAAGAGCAGAACGACTTAGTAAGTCACCATCATCTGATTGATTGACAGATCCTTCTGCGGCATCAGAGACAGAAGATTCAGGAACGTTGTCATTCTTGGAAAGTGGTGCGTTCATTTATGACTGCAAAGAAACATTTGCATAGACTACGATAACAAACTCCAGTTATTCAGTTGTATTCATAAGTCAAAAATGTTTCCCCAATCAATTTACATATTACAAGACTGATGAAAAATAGTAGACAAAAAGCCAAACCAAATAATGTACAGAAAACAGCAGGGAAATAAGGATTTATTGATGAGGTATCACGGCGATCAGAGCTTACAATAGAAAATTAAACAATTATGAAACTATTAGGACTGAAAAGCATCTCGAACTGAATCATACTAGCCACCAAATAAAACTCCGATGTACACAACGACAATTGCTACACGTACTGCGGTACCAACCAGAAGTCAATGAAAAGTGATAACGAAAGAAACCTAAGAACCATAATAAAATAATGCCTACGGACTTACAAAACTTAGATAAGTTACATTTTCGGAGTGAATTCTGAAGCAGTACCAGAAAACATTCCATTCAAACAAAAAGTAAACACAAAAATACTGCTACATTGTACAACAGGTAAAAGAATCAAATTTAGAAACTTATTTTTCAAGTGCACACGCGAATAAATAATGGTAGTAGTTAACTCGTTTCTTTAATACAGTTCAGCGGATTTAGCTGTTACTTTCTGTCACCTCTAGGCTACCTAGAGCTTACTGAAAGGTAGTAGGCCCAAACTAATGACTTGAAGTGGTCAGAAACATTCGTACAGTAAGCAATGAGCCACACCTATTGTGAAGGTCACTGATACCATCTGGTTGCCCAAACCTTGGTAGATGGACCAGGGTCCGAACCCGCGACCCAATGGTTGATAGTTATCTGAAACGACTGAGCCACAGCTCCATACAACTGCTATTCAGACTTTTGTTCCAAACATACCCTTGATGATCAAAGTCAAAATATTTTGGCAAACACTTACAAGTCTTCTAAAAAAAACAAGCAAATGCATACAGAGTACTTGCTACTTTGTTGTCTAAAGTACAACTACTGACTAGTAATCAGAGACTACGTAACCTAGTCCATCTACAACCTGGTCAGGCTATTTGGTTGACAATGCGAACGCAATTATTCAATAGGATTGAGGCAAAAAACATGGACTTCATTCTCAAGATTTATGTTGCGCACCTACCAGTAAGTTTACAGGAAGTGACCGTCAAAACTCCAAGATATGTGAAGATGTACAGAAGTGAAGACAACTTACTGGATGAAGCATTCTACTTTGAACAAATGAATAGCGCATTACAATTACTTCCCACCTACGGAGGTCGGAGTAGAAACACAGCAACGACCCTCAAAAGCTGTGCGACTTATGGCCAATATAAACACTTAAGTCAAATCTACCTTCAAAAGTTAACAACCATACGAATGTGACGTCCAAAAATACAAATATTCATGACACGATAGCCTGACTTCTAAATCCTAAGGTCTACACATGATTTCAACGTTCGAAGCCTTCGTATGTAGTTCCAGAAGTTTCAACAACCTACCTATGCTATTATAGGCGGTATTTGCAACGCTTATCTGAAGAATGAAGTTCAAGATTAAGTTTCCGTTTATTACTTCGGAATTATTGTTTTCCAATGAATGGAAACAAAAACGTTAAAAACAACTTTATCTTACTGGTTAGGTCGAGTAATTAAGCTGATAAGCTACAGACCCAAGTGACTGCTGATATGGGCAAGAAAACCACCGTAGTCACCAATACTGTACACACACGCATCCACAACTGTCAGTTAGGACTTTTTACCTTGGTAAATAATTAGGAAATTAGAGATGACGCTTGGCAAGTTAAAGGTGTCAAATCATGTTTGCAAAGTGCACATGATGTGGTCTGCCGAACATTACTACTGGCATTAAGAATGAGAGCACAAAAGCTGTGCGAAAAGCAATTCTACCTGGAACAAATTTTAGACCACTCACACGAACTGGCAGTGCTTGTTAGCCAGATTTCTCACAACGAACTGCATTTTGCAAACACCTAATTTGATTCCAAATATAAGTAAGCTTAACTAGCAAGTCAGAAATCGGGTGATCCGAACAACTCAGCTTTCTAAGGTGAATCAGTTCGTGTCTGCAGATAAGTTCGACCCCAAACGAGCGAAATAGCCATCTGGCGTTTAGAATACTTTGATCTGAGTAACGAGCACTGCTGATGGACGTTAGTGGTCTACTCATGTCAATCAGTAGTACACTTCGTAGTCTTTTGAAACCAAACATTATTTGAAGTGAAAATGATGACGTTTACGTGCACATCATGTAAAAATCATTAACCTTGAGGATCGGCTGGGGAAAGGGGTTAGTTAGTGGTACCTAAATAACTATATAAGTGCAGCCTAGTATATACAGATCAGATGGTAATGGGCTTTAGTTTACTTGTGAAAGATGGCAGAGTTCTACATATGAAGTAAGTAGTTCGATAGGTACCGAAACGTAGCATGTAAACTCGTTAAGTCCACTGTTGTGGTAGAAACGGGAAAATCCAGTTCACGTAATACTTTTCCAGAAACCAGACAGATACACCACAGTACCACTTAGAACATCAACCGAATAAATACAAACAACATGCACCCAAAAGGACTACTTGATGTAAACACACAACAATTTGTTACACCAATATCCAATATTGATAGTGCGAGCGTAGAAAACTGGTAGTTTTTGATCTCATGAGTCTAGTTCTTAGGGCTTGGTTCGAGTTTTTCGGTTCATTCCTGCAGTGGACGAGGAAATTCCCTCTGATTTCTTGCTTTTAGCTTCGGTGAGGTGGATGTTTTGTGGGTTAGTAAGTTGTAATTTGTAGAGTGATTGGGGAGCTACGGGTTGCTACGAAGTTTAAGGAACTGCCATGACTCCTGCCTGTGTAGGTACCTGAAGGAGAATAGTAAGGTAGTAGTAAAAGAATGAAGAGAGAACAAAAAAAAGAAAAATAATAATGAGGGAAGAGAAAAGGGGAGAAGAAAAGGAGGGGTGAAAAAGAGGAATAAGAACGAAAGAAAAGTATTTGGGAATCGCCCGAATGGTCGCGTGGGTTTGGTTCCTACAGAAGAATTAGTAGGTAATGTGGGTGTATTGAGGAGGGAGATAGTGAGTGGTAGTTAGGAGGGAGTTGGGGGGTACTGAGGTTGGTGACTACATGAGTACGTCCGTGGTAGTCCATGCGAGGTGATATAACTGTCTAATCGTCTCTTGAATGAGCCGACTGAGGGAGCTATAACGATATGTCACGGTAAGGCATTCCATAAAACACATACTCTCACACGCTTCTTACACCCACGGTGCATGTAAAGGAAGTAAGTGTAAGCGAGAATAGCTTACATGACAATTTATATGCATAAAGTGCATTCCCTAGATGGGACAGTGGGATAAATAAAGGACAAACACAATACCACCCCCTAGTGTCTTGTTACTCAAGCTTCTTACGAAACAAACCTATCGGATAGCCTATCGTTGAGTAGGACAACGTTATATCTAAGCGCATTGATAAGCCCTGAAAACCAATAACTTACAGAAGTTGAGAAAAAGGAGTCGAGGACTATGAAGGCCTTTTAGTTGACCACTAACCTCAACATTTAATATTTGAGGTCAACTTGGTTCTACTTCATATTTTCCGCCTTTAACAAGCTGTCAATATAAGGTAAAATGATGGAAGACTTTATGAATAATGAAACACTTCTGCAACATTCACAGTGTACTTTGAAGATGCGCAGTTATATTTGGCTGACACTAACTTCCACTGATTGCAGGAGACTGCGGGGTTTCGGAATCTTCGGTTTTGTTACTTGAATTAATTACCTCTTTCTATTTTTCATCTTCAATAGATTTGCATTGACATTATGGTCTGTTTGGAGCTTGAAGACTGGACTGATTAAGAAGCCATAAGTTGCTTCGAAGATTGGGAGTCTTTTTGGAACTCCTACTTGTTTAATTGTCTTAAGGAGGAGAGCAGAATAATGATAAACAAAACACACGGTATGAGTGCTTCCAAAGAAGAGTCCGTGTTGATGACATCAGTCGACTTAGCAGACAAGACCAAGTTTTCTGGTCGAGACAAACAGATAACGAATAGTTAGCAGGCAGTTAGCAGCAGCGAGGCAGTGGGAGACTACGTGAGCTGCAGGGTGTCAGTCTGTAGACATGCATTCAGTGAGATCGGTAGCATATATTTCTGGAAATCCAACTGGGTTGAAAGCTGCATAACCAGCTCTTAATTATTTCCCCCGCAGAGGCCACAACTATGCCTTTTGTTAAGGCATCCCACAGAGAAAATAGTCTCAAATAAAACAACCTTAAATTAGGCACATATTGGCTTTCTAGTGGACTGATCTAAAACGATTTCATCAGGACACCTGTCATATGGTTGGTTTAGTCCTTCTTCTGAAATGACATTATTTTCGGATGATTCTGAAAGCCTCAGCGGGAGCTTCCTGCCCCTTCATCATCGAAAGGTATGAAACAAAATGACTTAGATGTCTCCGTCTTCATGGTGCACTTTTCTCTTCGTCCAGCAACCGCTATTATGCCGAGCTTTTATGCTTTCTCAGGGAGATCAAAATTCTCTTCAGAATGCGGGTTCTGTTGTCTCGTTCAGTGCTTTCAGATGCAGCCGTACATACGTTTTAAGGCTGTTAGAAAAGTATCTGATGGGAGAACACCCAATCACTCATTCATGAGATAAACTGCTCTCCATTGCTATCATTTATTTACAGCCAGTGTTTAGAACATTAAGGGGTTAGTGTCAAGGTTACTTTTCGTAGGTGATGGTAATGGTATGGTTGCTTGACTTATAGTTGCGTATATTTTTGGTTGCATTCGCTCTCTGGGTCTTGGTTTACATTATTTGGTGATTTTCCAGGTTACTTCTCGAGTTGTTCACTGGTGGCCAGTGTTCTGCCTGCAGCAGATGGCTTTGAAGTACTCTGAATTCGTCAGCCTCGTCTACCGCCGTCCGTATTCTGATGCCATGGGCAAAACGTATGGTGTGAGCGAGTTCTCTGTTGAAAGTCGACTACAAAAAACAGAAGTGGCCCTAGGACCTTTCCCGGCGACACATGAGATGTTGGTATCCCTTGCACATTTCCCATTCTGTTCAGGTGACTGAGGAAGTGTCTCGACTCTAAATATATGATGATGATAATGGTCAGGGGTTATGAACAGAGACGTCGAGAAGCAAGCGATAAATGATGTCAACAAGTCAAGGAAGATAACGTGAATTGCTTTTTTGGTGTCTGAGCTAGCTGGCCAGTCTTTCTAGGTAGCCACCAAGTTTGTCAAAAATAAACCCGCAGTTAGAAAGCCATGTTGAGATGTATGGACAATATTGCTCCTGTAAAATGAGTCAATAATCTTGCCTCCGTCCACGTATGATGTGGAACTGGTAGTTCTTAGTCGGTTTCGTTTAGTTCATCAGGTAATACCGGTTTTTCAACATTCTTGTAACCCTCTTGCTACTGGTGATTGATAGAGATGAGCGTCTTTTGAGCCAGGCCATTTTGCGGTCTACAATAATCGCCGTTTCGTATGCCAAATGAGAAGCCGTCAACGCTAGCTGACATGCTGACGGTTTTTAGCTGTAACCAGAGGCTGGAAGGATTAGTTGCTTCACTTTCACCCACAGCTCATAAATGGTGATGAGATTCCAGCCCGTGGGTGTGCTTTAAAGGTAATCTCCAACTGGTTCAAATTCAGGCTTGCTGTAGCAAGAGGTGTTGGGAGTTTCAGGCTGCCGAATTTTCCTGGCCACCACGGAGATGGCTCCTGCTGACTGATTTCTACGGCCAAAGAGCGGTTGAACACACACGTTCTCAACAAGATGGCTACCCCCCCCCCCAAAATATGTCTCAGAAGTGATATATTTCTGTTACGCCCTCAATTTGACACATCCTGTTTCCACCAAAGGATCTGATGGTGAGTGTTTCTTCTACCCCGAAATGAACAGACGGTGTGGCGAAGTGGCCAAGAGCCATTAAATACTCGTGATCTTCAGAGATTATAGACAAGATTGCCTTGATGCTCATTTTCTGGTGACCACGGGTAACACTTAAAGGCTTTTATACTGCTCCTTGCGGGTATTTAAAGTGGTGAGGATGAAAGTAGTATGATAGGGAGGAGGAGAGTTGTCTTTACTCTGCATCCATCACCACTGTCCCCATAGGCAAGAGCTTACCAAGAAGATAGCCTCGGTTCGCTCCTGAACTCTAGTTACTAGCGGACAAGTTCCATATCCGCCATTTCCATCCCTTCGTCAGAAGCGTCCAGCGGGAACCAGGTGTCTGTTAAGAGTCGATATCGCTGTGGAGGTGATCAAGAAGTGGTCCTGTTTGCAATGTTCTGTTCCACCAGTCCTCCAAAGCTGTTATTCAGACATGTTGGATAGTGCTGGTCAGAGGGGAAGGGCCTGGTTGTGCTCTTCTGTTGGGCAGCTTTGCAGTGGTTGGGTCCTGACCTTGGATCTCTGATCCCCACATGATAAACAATAATAATATTTATTCCTGAATATACAGGCACACATCATTTTTACAGTTGTAAGTTTATATACAAGTTACATTCATCTTCATGGAAGGTAATCTGAATCCCTACCCGTTGTCACTAGAAGATATACGTGCTGCATGTTCATGTAATAGAAAATCCCAGCAGAGTAAGTGTGCAGGAAATTTACGAGTTGGACAAGTGGGAGTATTGTCTTCGCATTAACAAAAATCAGGTTTGTATTTAGACAATACAGGTATTACCTTGAGAAAAATAAAGCTCGAAGCTAATACTTCCATTGTGACAGATTGTACTTTTTGCTTGAGATAATGATGAAGAGTTTATGAAACGTTTATATATCGTGCTTCATTGACAATTCCAGAACTGTATAATTCATGCATGTTAACACCATTCCGCAACAAAGATTCATAATCTTGATGAATATTAAGACTGAAGGCCAAATGTCTTCACTTTTTCAACTCCAGCATCCAGAAGCAATAGACTTGCTTGAATGGGCCAAATGGACTTCCAGAACATCTCGTCTTTCGTTTCCACGGGTCGTGACAGCCTTGCAGTTGGTAAGTGTTGGACGTTGCCGGTCACTTTCACATGAGTTAATCCTAGATTTTGGTGATTATGAAGTTGTAGTCCAGTGAACTTTTTTGTTTCTGCTTGTTGCAGTTGGGTATTCTGAACGTAGTAAAGCTGGTTACCCTCCACGAAGGGTAGTTTCAGCCACGGTCTGTTCCTAAAGTAATCAATTATCGATAGCAACAAGGCCAACGCTTAGAAGTGAATTATTTTTCTACAGCGAGAAAAAAACAGGCAAAGCAGCAGGCGGATAAAGCAAGAATTTCAACAAGGAGAGTGTTTTCTACGTTCATATTCCTCCCTACCCAACTTCCCTTGCTATGGCTTTCATTGTGTATCCTTTTTCTATAGAGTACTTAAAGACATGAATTTCATGCTATCATGTGATGTAGGATTTCTGTTTTTGATTACCGTGTTGGGTAGGGCAGAATGTGCAGTTAGTTTGGGGTGGTAACTTACGGAATTCTCCTCAACGCTTCGTATGAAAGGTCAGTGTATGTGTGGTGGCTCTCATTATACATTAAGACAGCCGAGCATACGAAGTGTCGTGAGAGAGATTGTTGGTGTATTTGATAAGCTGGAGCTGTGGTCCCATTTGCAATCGTGTCCTAGTAATCTAGCTGTGAAAAACTTTTGGACACCCTCTATCATATGTTTTTCTTTTATGCGGGTACCACTCAGTATAAATGGACAGTACTCTAATAGTGGACGTACGCAAGTTTTATAGAGTAGCAACCTGACTTCTATGAAGTGGAAGTTACGAACTATGCAACCCATCGGGACCCTAGATTTGCGAGTCTGTGATGCTACCTGTTCAGAAAATGTGGGGTCCCTTGAATATCTTAGTCCAAGGTCACATGCACCTCTAAGAACAGGCAGTTTCACAGACTGAAGATGTAGTTGGATATTCACCGATGGAGCACCAAAACATATCCAGCCACATTTGTCTATACTGAACTGAAGTTTCCAAGCAGTAGACAGTGCCGATATAATATCGAGCTCCCTCTGTATTAGTGCTCGGGAGTGGGATAAGTTATCACGGTGAATGTGTGTGTAACTTTTAGGTCATCAGCAAACAAGGATGGTTTACCGTATGTAAAGCAGCTGCAGATGTCATTTAGAATGTTTCGGTATTTTCAATTTTGAGGGGACAACAGGAATGGGTCCAAGATGCCCGTGGTGCTTGGCTCACCAGTTTCATCATGCGACAACCAATAACCAGGGAGATCTTGGTGGTCGCTGCCTGTATCCTTGCATTTTAGGTTTTGACTTACCATTAGATCGTGATATTTTACCTACTAAACCGGCTTTTCTATCTCCCCAGGTTTACGAAGCCTCCACAAGTGACGCACAAAAACGTGACCGCATGATGAGCAGTCTAAATCTGAGGACTGGCGTCATAAGGGCTGGTCTTACAGTTTAAGTGACGCTGCTCATCCCTTCGTCACTGAAATCAACTTCTGTTTCCACACATCCTTTCGTGACTCATTTCTAGTGTCTGTTCCACGAGTTGGCATCAACCAGTTTCCTTAGCCATCACTACCAAATTCGATGGAAGTCTTCCGCT